CGCTGCTGCCGCTGATTGCCCCGTTCTTACCAGGGAGCACTCTCAGAGCTGGGCTTTTCCCATACTCAGCTGTGCCCACTTGACCAGGTCAGGGCACCTGCTCCCTAGCAGCCCACAGGCACATTCCTTTAGCAGAGGAAGCATGACGTCGAAGTTCAGGGCGCTCAGCTAAGCCCCCCAGCATGGGAGTCAGAATCCAGGGAGAGCAGATTGGGATTGGGATTGGGATTGCTAAGACTCCACAGAGCACAGGAGCTGGGCTTGGGCTCAGACTTAGGGTGGGTGGAGAGAAAGGAATGGACGAGCAGCCAGGAATGGGGTTAGGAGACACCTCCGGGACAGTGAGCAGCAGTGCAGAACTGAGGGTGGGACAGGGGTTTCCAGGGTCACCTGGTGAGGCCTGGCCCAGTGGGGAAGGGGCCATGCTGTAGAGGCAGGTGGTAGTCTCCATTTGTTCTCAAGGTTGGCTGTTTTAAAGCATTTTGCAAGTGTGTTAAATGTGCCTTTTAAATGTCTCAGTGAATGGAACAGGGGGGTGGGAGAGATGGTCCGAAGAGGCCAGATGTCCTGTGTTGTGTGGTGCTGCTGCTGCCCCCAAGGCCAGTAGCTCCCTCGTGGAGCAACACTGGTCAAAAGCAACAGTTGACCCTGGGGGTTTCAGCCACTGGCATGATCAGGAAAATACGGTTCTTAAACCCAGGTCTGAAGATACCGCACTGGTTGATAAGTGCTGGGTAGTTTACAGCTGTTGGAAGAGAAGCCCTGGCCAGAGGCGGCCCAGGTCCAGCAGGGAAGCTGACCCATGTCCGAGCAGGTCTGTAACGTGAGGCTCACTGGGAATTGCTCAGATGCCACCGGAGAGACAGACTCCATTGTGGCAGCCACAGGAAATGCCCGGACAGCCCGTGGTCCCCACCAGGGGACTTCCCATTTTGACAGGGTCTGGGCCACTTGCATCTCAAGATCCCTGTCACATCCGAAAGTCGTCGTCTTGGCACTGCACTGCGTCTCTGGAGGCCCTGCTGTGAGAGGGAACAGGGAGGCAGCTTTGCCTCAGAGGCCCTGGGAAAGTGAAAGGCCTCGGTTAGGGGCTCTGAGCACAGCACTTCCGTAGCTAACCCTGTGTCTCTGGGAGAGCACCCGCCCAAGCCGTCCCGCTGCCCAGTGGGGAGTCTGCCTTCTCCCAGGAGCCCTGCAGCCTTTCCTACCTTTGGCCTCTCCCGCACCTTCTCCTTGGGGCAGGGGTGCGTGGGGGAGTCAGGCAGATCCCTGGAAGCTTTGCAGCTTGTCAGAAGCTCCATGCCGTGGCCTCCCCGGCTGCGAGCCCTGGAGGACCGTGTGTGCGCTGGGCGATGCTGCTCCCACTGCCCAGGTGGGAGGGGTGAGGCATCCCTGCTGGACACCGCTGGCTGGCGTCCGATCCAGGCTTCTGTATCGGGCATGCTATGCCCCGAGCCCTTCCCATGCTGGCCTGCGAGGTCTTTGCAGTCTTGTCCCCATTCTTGGACTCTCCTTGACTTACAGGTCTGTCAGCAGGAAGGTTTTCAAATTAGAAGTGTTTAAGGTTTTCAACCCAGCTAAATGCTGCTTTAATTATTTCCAGAGTGAAATCACAAACTTATAGGGAGAAATGGCCGGCGCCATGGCTCACTAGACTAATCCTCCGCCTTGCGACGCCGGCACACCGGGTTCTAGTCCCGGTCGGGGCTCCGGATTCTGTCCCGGTTGCCCCTCTTCCAGGCCAGCTCTCTGCTGTGGCCAGGGAGTGCAGTGGAGGATGGCCCAAGTACTTGGGCCCTGCACCCCATGGGAGGCCAGGATAAGTACCTGGCTCCTGCCATCGGATCAGCGCGGTGCGCTGGCCGCAGCGCGCTGGCCGTGGCGGCCATCGGAGGGTGAACCAACGGCAAAGGAAGACCTTTCTCTCTGTCTCTCTCACTGTCCACTCTGCCTGTCAAAAAAAAAAAAGTCTTTAAAAACAAAATTAAGTTTAAAAAAAAAACTTATAGGGAGAATTAAGATGAGTGAGTACGCAAATAACCTCAAATGCCGAATGTGAGAAGTGCGCAGTCGCTGCGTGGGAGGGGGGCGCCTGCCAGGAGGGGCTCTGGAGACCGCATCACGAGGCCAGATGTTGACAGCTGGGCATGGAGCAGGGAGGAGACGCTTAGCAGCCCCTTCTCTGGGCATTGCTCCACTTGCGTCTTCCTCAGCTCCATCTCGCGCTACTTGGGAGTGTGGGTAGAACGGGTGGATCTGTGTTGAAGGCTTGGGGACTGGGGCAGGAAGACCCTGGGGAAATTCGGCAGCATGGGCACATACCTAGAAGACCCTGCACATCTGATTGTAGGTCGCCATCTCTGGCTCTTTCCCAGGCCTCTGGGATTCAGTCCATCAAGGATCTATCTGGGCATGGAGTTTCCCTGCCATTGATTGTGTGTGATTAAAATCGTTAAAGCAGCATTTAGCCCGGCAAGTGACCTGAGCTGCTCCCATTTGTAAAGCTGCCTGCTAGGGCTGACCAGTAATTCTGCGGTCTGGGTCACACCCACTCTACAGCTGGAGGGGCAGAAAAGGTGTCAGCTAGGTGAGCTGCAGGCACCCCCACCCCACCTCCCCAAGGGGGTCCCCGCTGCCCAGGAGCTTGTGGAGCAGGGCACGTGCACTTGTTCTCCTGGGCTGACAGCTTTGCGGCAGACAGACCACTAAGGCGGAGGCATAGAGGAGATGAGTAGTTACCAGGGTCAGCAAGGAGGGCAGAGTGAGGTGTGAGTGCCTACGCCTGTGGGGTTTCCTTTGGGGGTGCCGAGAATGTTCTGGAATGTCCTGCTGGAGGATGGTCACACGACTTGGCAAACAGTAAGAACGATTGAGATGCCTGCTTGGAAAGTGAACTATGGCATGTGAGTTATGCCTTAGTGAAGCTGTTATTTTTAAGTTAAAAACTTGGTGGAGGGAAAGGCTTGGTAACCTCCAACCAGCCACTTTACATAGAGATAAGGAAGAAGGGAGAGCGTCGCTCTGCTGTTTGGCTTTAAGCCTCATCGTTTCTCAGAGGCCCTGTGTCTGCCACCAAACCGAGAGGTTGGTGGGGAAGCGGGGACGGGAAGAGGGCCAGGCGCTCAGGCTTGCTCTGCTCGCCCGAGGAGCAGGGAGGGGATGGTCCCAGGCACCCCCAGGCCTGGGGTATAGGTTGTGGGGTTCCAGGTCGGGCCCTCACCTCTGGAGAACCTGCTGCCCACGCACGGGGTGTCCCTTCCATCACCAGGGCTGCCTCACGCTCCTCGGCCCTCGCTGCTTCCGGGAGAAGATTCCTGAAGGACTCTTAGAAAGCACAGAGCTCCCGGAGGAGGGGTCCGGCCCATTCCTCTGCACTGAGGCCATGGAGCCCTTGTGAGGCCACGGTGCGGGGGGAGTAGCAGGTGCACGGTCTCGACCCAGCCCCTAAGCCATATCCCAGTGAGCGCTGCCGAGCGTGGACCCTGAAGGTGGCATGTGTGCACTGCCTCGTGGCCTTGGGCAGCAGGAGCTGGAGCAGGCTGTGGCCCTCGGCCCCGGGGGGCCAGGCTGACGTGACCTTCACAGGGGTTTAGGTTGGAAGTTCAGCCTCGTTGGGGTAGGGATTGTGCTGCCTCACAGCCTGAGACACTGTGGGGAGTGTGTGAACATCTCAAAATTGAGCTGGGAATCTGGGAGCGTCAAGGGAGTGAGGAAGGGGTAGACCTGCCTGGAAAGCGGGGAATTTGCCCGTTTGCTTAAGTAGAGACCTCCTCACAGGCCAGGACCCCTCTGTAAGCCGAGCTGCGTTCCCTGGGGGATGGGGCCATGTGTCCCCATGTGCTGGTGTTGTCCCTCCAGTGGGCCTGGTTACTCTCATGGTCAGAGAAGATCATGAACCTTTGGGGGGAAAATGGTTCCTTCTAAATTGTACCCAGATCTGAACAGTGTCATCTGGGGGCTAGGATATGACCATGTGTTATTTGCTAATGTGTTCTTTTTGGCATTAAAAAACAGTTTACAATGAGCAGTATTCATTCTGAAAGAAGAAAATGGACCAGCATTGAGGCACAGTGGGTTAAGCTGCTGCCTGCAATGCTGGCATCCCAGATCAGAGTGCTGGTTCAAGTCCCAGCTGCTCCACTTCCAATCCAGTTCCCTGCTAACGTGCCTGGGAAGGGAACAGAAGATGCCCAAGTATTTGGGTCCCTGTCACCCATGTGAGAGACCCGGACAAAGTTCCTGGCTTCCAGCCATTACAGCCATTTGGGGAGGGAACAAGATGGAAGATCTTTCTGTTTGCCCCTTCCTCTGTCACTCTGCCTCTCAAATAAAGGAATAAGTCTTAAAAACACTGAAGGGGCCAGCGTTGTGATGTAGTGTTTAAAGCTGCTGCTTGCAGTACCGTCATCCCATATGGCTGCTGGTTTGAATCCCAGCTGCCCCACTTCCTATCCAGCACTCTATGGCCTGGGAAAGCAGTAGAGGATGGCCCAAGTCCTTGGGCCCCTGCACCCGCATGGGAGACCTGGGGGAAGCTCCTGGCTTCAGAGCTCTGGCTGTTGCAGCCATTTGGGGAGTGAAAACAGTAGATGGTAGACCTCTCTATCTCCCTCTCCTCCTCTCTGCATCTCCTTCTCTCTGTGTGTAACTCTTTCAAATTACACACACACACACACTCTGAAAAGCAAAGCTGCTCTCCAGGGAAGGCCCTGGCGGCTTCAGCAGCGGTAGAGAGAACTCCGCATGCTTGGGTGGAGACCCTGGCCCCTTCTCTGGGTGGTGCCACGGGAGCCACTTCTCCCTGGGTCCTCCGGTGGCACCTGCAGGCATGCGCAGCACCCTGGGACTCGGGGAGGCCTGTAGGGAGAACAGGATGCCCCTGGGGCTGTTTGTTCCATTCTGAGAAGGACTCCTGCCTGATACAAGCCTGCGGAGGCTCCCAGTAGACCTTTCCCCTCCCCAGCAGGGTGTCACCTGTCGCCCCTTTGCTTTCCCTGCAGGTGGGCCTACCACGACTTCTTCAACCGGTACCGGGTGCTGGTCGCGAAGAGGGAGCTGGCCAACACGGACAAGAAGGCCGTCTGCAAGGCTGTCCTGCAGGACCTCCTTAAGGTGCGAGGGGTGGGCTGTGGGCGGCGGCGGCGGCGGCGGTGGTGGTGGTGGTGGTGGTGGTGGTGGTGGTGGTGGTGGTGGTGGTGGTGGTAGTGTTCTGCCCGTTGAACCTCTGAGCTGTTGCCCGTTTCCCCACATCCCTTACTAAACCCGCCAGAGCACTCTGCACCTGCAGGAGATGGAATTCTTCATGCAGCTCGCTGGGGTGGCTGCACGCCGCTGTCCCAGGAGCTCCCAGACTCCCCAGGGGCTCCATAGCTCAGCCTGCCTGACCCCCGGAGCCCAAGCATAGCCCGGAAGTCGGCAGAGGGACAAATGGCTGCACTGCTGGGGTCTTGCCTGTTTGCACACCCAGCCTGAGGCTCTGCTCGTTTCCACAGTTTAAATAACACAGCAGGTTTTACGCTGGAATCTCACCTGGCAGAGCTATAAAAGCAGAGCTGTTGGGGGCCTTTTAGGAGAGGCAGGTCCTCAAGTGCTTCCATAGCTGCCGGAGCTCAGCGACTGTAGCAGATGGCTGTCACTGTCTCAAGGGACTAGGTCATAGCAAAAGTCATCCTTTGGGGAAGGTGATGTAAGAGTTACTTCAGGCCAGCACCATGACTCAAAAATAGGCTAATCCTCCGCCTGTGGCGCCGGCACACTGGGTTCTAGTCCCGGTTGGGGTGCCGGATTCTGTCTCGGTTGCCCCTCTTCCAGTCCAGCTCTCTGCTGTGGCCCACGAGTGCAGTGGAGGATGGCCCAAGTGCTTGGGCCCTGCACCACATGGGAGACCAGGAAGATGCACCTGGCTCCTGGCTTCGGATCAGGGCAGTGTGCCGGATGCAGCGCGCTGGCTGTAGCGGCCACTGGAGGGTGAACCAACGGTAAAGGAAGACCTTTTTCTCTGTGTCTCTCTCACACTGTCCACTCTGCCTGTCAAAAAAAAAAGTTACTTCAAGGATTTCAAATTTTAGCTGAGACTTTGCCAGGAAAGTCTACCCGGACTGGCTGCCTGGTGAGCCATCAGGGTTTGGGGTGGTGGTTTGTCTTCTGCCCATCTTGGCTGCTCACGTCTGTGGCTGTAGACGGTGCAAGATGGTGCACTCGAGGCATATGTAGTTGTGTTTTTTTTTTTTTTTTTTGACAGAGTGGACAGTGAGAGAGAAACAGAGAAAGGTCTTCCTTTTGCCATTGGTTCACCCTCCAATGGCCACCGCGGCCGGCACACTGCAGCCGGCGCACCATGCTGATCCAAAGGCAGGAGCCAGGTGCTTCTCCTGGTCTCCCATGGGGTGCAGGGCCCAAGCACCTGGGCCATCCTCCACTGCACTCCCTGGCCACAGCAGAGAGCTGGACTGGAAGAGGGGCAACTGGGACTAGAACCCAGTGTGCCGGCGCTGTAAGGCGGAGGATTAGCCTAGTGAGCCATGGCACCAGCCGCATATGTAGTCTTAAAGCTCCCTTTAAACAATGGGGAGCCCCTTGCCTCACTCCCCCCACCCCCTCTGTTTTTTCTCACAGTGGGGCGATGGTCTGGATAATCGAGGCTTGTGGTTGGTTAGTTGCACTCCGGGTGGTTGAGATTTTTGCGTGGTTCACCTGTCAGGGTCCACATCTTAGCATAGCATTTCTCATGGGTGAGAAGAGAAATCTCCCATGCGGCTGCTCTCGGTGAAGAGGAGGCACCAGGCGAGCTTGTCCTCACTGCTCCCGGGAGCTGGCTGCCTGGTGTGCGGCCCAGGCCTGTGCACAGCCCGCTGTACCCTGTGGCTGCCTTCTGGGGCTCGTCCTGTGCCGCACTTCTCTGAGGTTAATAGCAGAACCTCTACTTCCAAGCAGCGGATACGGTAGAGGGACCCAGGTCAGACTGCTGGGGTCACCTTCCACCTGCGTTACCCACTGCCTCAGCTGGCAGGGCCAAGTGCTGGGCCTCTGATGCACCCATATGTGGGGCCTACTGGGCACGGCTGCCCTTCCTCCCACTGATGAGCAGGCTGTCTAAGCCTTTGCAGTGGACTAACTCAGAAACCATGCCCACCGATGCAGTCTGACTGTGCACAGTTAGTCTCTGAGAACGTGTGGCCCTGCCAGCGAGCCAGCTAAGTGGCCGTTGGTGTAGAGAGAGCTTTCCACTGCCGTGGATGGGCTGTCCCAGTGTTCCGTCCCAGCAGGAAGAGTGGGCTGACTTCGCTGTAGCAGGTGCAGCTCAGGCTGTGACCGCAGGTGCAGAGAAACCTCCTGTAATACTTTTTTGGGGTGGGAGGTTGATTGCCGTCTGTTACTGTGTGGGCCGCTATGTGATCATTTGAGGACAGTTTTTTTTTTTTTTTTAATAGCTGTACATGTTTATGGGCTACCTTGTGACCTTTTGGTACATGTGTGCCACGTGTGGTGATCAGAGTGGCGTGATGCCCACTCCCCTTTGCGTGTGGAACATGGAGGCCCCTTCCATTCACTGATAGACGCACACCCGGTCCTTGTGAACTCCGCTCACGGCGCTGAGCTGGGCAGCTGGAGGAACTTGGTCACTCCACAGCCTCTAGTAATGACTGTCCTGGTTCACATTGTGGTTTGTGGCTTTTTTCAGCTTCCACACATGAGGAAGAACATGCCGTCTTCTCTCTCTGTCTGGCTTACTTCCCTGAATACAATGTCTCCCAGTTCCACCCATTTTGCTGCAAATGACAGAGCTTCGTTTTCTCTTTTATGACCGAGTAGAATCCATTGTATGAGTGTATACACGTATATACACAGGTACACATACATGCTGCATTTTCTCCATCTGTTCATCTGATGATGGACACCATGGTGGATTCTATGTGTTGGCTGTTACAAACACAGACCAGGCCTCTGACTCAGTGACTGTTTTGCACGTATACCCCATAGTGGGATTGCTGGGTCACATGTCAGTTCTGTCTCTAGGTTTTTAAAGAGTCTCCACGCTGTTTTCCATAGCATAAGGAGTCCTTTTTAAAAAGTGTAGACCAGATCGGGTCATTCCCTTGCTCCCAGCTTTGCTGTCACTCCCATCCTGACTTTGCGCTGCAGCCTTCAAGGCCCCTGGCGACCGGCAGCTCCACCACCCGCCTTCCGTTCCCCGTAGCCGGCCGTCCTGGGTCTCCAGCCCTGGGTCACGCCCAGCTTGTTGCCACCGCAGGGCATTGGCACCTGCTGTTCTGAGGCTCCTCCCCTTGTGTTTCCACGCTTGCCTCCTTCGGTTCACTCAGGTCTGTGCTCAGATGTCACCTTGACAGTGGCACCTGCCTTAGTCTCGCCTCCCCTGCCTCCTGGTCCCCATCCTCACCGGAGAGTGTAGTGTCGTGCACTTGTCTGCCTGCCCTCGCCATAGTGCTGGTTCCTTGAGAGCAGGTGTCTTGTTCCCTACCACGTCCTAGACAGCGAAGCCCAGAGCCTGCCACCCGGGACGGGGTTTGGTGTCTGTTAACTGAATACTCGGGGCTCACCTGTGTCTGCAGGGGAGCGGCCTGTGGAATCGGGCAAGGGCTTCTGTCCCGGGGTGGTGTGGGGCGCGTGGCCTCGCTGCTCACCGGCGACTCCCTGCCTTGTGAAGGATCCCGACAAGTTCCAGTTCGGCCGCACCAAGATCTTCTTCCGGGCAGGCCAGGTGGCCTACCTGGAGAAGCTGCGAGCTGACAAGTTCCGGGCAGCCACCATCATGATCCAGAAAACCGTCCGCGGCTGGCTGCAGAAGGTGAAATACCGCAGGCTGAAGGGGGCAACCTTGACCCTGCAGAGGTACTGCCGAGGATACCTGGCCCGCAGGTGAGCCCTGGTGGGGAGTGGCTGGGGTAGGGAGACGGGCACGGCTGCTCTTACCCCCATGGTTAGAGTGGCTGCCTCCAGGCCCTGTGGTGTCTTGTCCCTGCCCATCCCGTAGCTGCCCTCCTCGCCTTAGGGAGCAGGTCTACTTCCCAGGACTCCAGTGCCCCGTCTGTCCCCATCCCACCTGCACCAAGCTAGGACCAGCTGATTTTGCCATATGGCCTTTGCCTGAACCCCAAAGCTCATGGGGGTGCAAGGGGAGGAAAGCTCTCCTAGGAAAAGGTTCAGATGCGGCCTTCACGTCGCAGCTCATGGGCGCTCAGCCTAACGGCTTGTGCACGCATTTCAGAAGCCCCTGGAGCTGGGAACCAAGGTCCCCCTTAGGGGCTGTTGTGCCATTCCAGCACAGGGAGGATGACCTGTCAAAGCAGAAGCAGCAACCTGGAACAGGGGCACCAGGCAGGCTCACCTGCCAGCGCGGTGCCACCCAGGGGAGCGCTCTCCACCACTGCGTCCAGGCTGATGACATGCTAGGGCGGCTGCAGCCGTGCCCGCCGACGCAGGTGTAGGGGACACAGCCCCTGGTGAGATGCCCCCCCCCGGGCCTTTCCAGCAGTTATGTGAGCTGGGCTGAGTCCTGATTCAAGGTCAGTGCTGTCCCCAGGGAGGAGAATTTCCTTGGAGACGTGACCGTAACCACCATGAAGTCTCCCATTGGTAAGCTGAGGTTCACGAGTGGCAGCTTGGTCATCTCTGCGAGAAATAAAAAGCAAGAACAAGAGAGCCCCCAGGCTCCAAGCCCAGAGCAGGTGCCCTGTGTCCTAACGTTAGAGCGCTGCCCTCCTCGAGCCCTCGTGTGCTGCCCATAGCTGTTTATGCAAGCAAGAGCAGAGAGGACAGACGCCAGCAGCCACCTGCGAGCTGTTGCGAGATGAGCTGCACAGCAGCAGGAAGGAGGGGAGCGTTGGCGGTGATGTCCACGCCGAGTGACTCCCGGCAGGCTTTGCCGACTCGTCAGATCGCAGTCACGGGCCCTTGTGCCTGGGGCTCTGCCTTGGTCTCCCAGGCTGGCAGTGAGCTGCGAATCGGTGCTGGCCCGTGTTCTCCCTGGGGGGAGTTTGCTGTCTGCAGATCAGCAGAGCCCGCGCATGAAGCAGGTGCATTCAACGAGCAGGCGGTGTGTGCACGGGGCGGGTCACTGCCTCTGGGCCGCACAAAGTGACTTCTGAGGTCCTTTCTGGCGTTTCACGTTGAGTCTAGTTGAGCACTTGGAGCAGTGAACTTGAAGCCAAACCAGAGCCTTCGGAAGGGCGGAAAGTGTCAGACGGGCTCTCGTGGGAGGTGAGGTAGGGACTGCAGAAACAAAAGGGGGAGGCAATGTGTGCATCCAGGGCGTCCTCAGGAAAAGGGCTGGGCGGGTGAGGAGCCAGGGAGGCAGCGGTGTGGGCCCGGGAAGGTTGCAGTCATTCTGCAAACGTTGCCAGCACCTGCTGGGCCAGGCCCGAGCCAGATGCAGGGTGCCTCGCTGGCGCAGCTCAGAGGGACGGTGACATGGAGTGCCGAGGGTGAAGTCATGGATGAGTTGGTTGCATGAGGATCACGGAGGAGGAGGGCAGGGTCACCCTGAATGGAAGCTTGTGGAAAGGGAGTGAGCCCAAGTGTCATGTGCCCAAACCATCGCTGGGTTTGATGAGGGTGGCAAGAGTTGTCTTGGCCTGGGGATGTCCAGGCAGTGCCCCAAAGGGAGGGGCGTGCGCTGTGGACGACTCTGCATCTTGTGGGCCAGCCTGACCTGTGCTGCCTCCCGCTCCCCCAGGCTGGCCGAGCACCTGCGGAGGACCAGGGCGGCCGTGGTGCTGCAGAAACAGTACCGCATGCGGAGGGCACGCCTGGCCTACCAGCGTGTGCGCAGGGCTGCCATCGTCATCCAGGCCTTCGCTCGGGCCATGTTCGTGCGCAGAATCTACCGCCAGGTGAGCTGCCCCCAGGAGGGACTTGCAGGCCGCTGGTTCATGCTTTAGGTTGCATCAGGTCACGGCCACCGGTGTGGGCGTTTGTTGGGAACTCCCAGCTCACCAGGCACTTCACGGCTCTGCTCTCAATGGGTTCTTTCCAAAGCCCCAAAGAGAGGAAGAGTGGACGTCATGTACCCCCTGGAGACCTGAGCGGCTCACAGAAGCTGAATCTGCCTGGGGGCCCGTGTCAGGCAGCTGCAGGGCCCAGTCTTGGGCGCGTTCAGGAAGGGACGCTGACCGTCAGCAGGCCTGGCCCCTCCCTTTGCTGGGTGAGGATCCCGGCCCATGGCAAGGAGAGTTAGGGAGGGCGCCCCACTTCTTCCTGCCTGGTGTTGCTCTTGGTGTTGTCCCGGTGAGGCTGAGAGCCCTCTGTCAGGACACGCCAGCACGGCCAGGTTACACAGACACCACTGAGCACAGCACCGAATGGAAAAGTGAATCGGGAGAGAATGTCTCAAAGTCTTGTTTCTCTGAGCAAACCTCCTCTTCTACAGTAAGAGATGTGATTTTCTAAATAGCAGGAGTCAATCACTAATTTGGTGTGTGCGTGGAGACATTCAGCCAGTGGGAGAAGGCTCTGTGAACTCTTGAGAGACAGGGGCAGGTTTGGAGGCAGCCAGCAGGGGGCAGCAGACGCGAGGCGCTGGCACTAGGTGGGACTCCCGGCTCGGGCAGCTGCAGCACTGGGCGTGTTCCATCTGTGCGTGCTTGCTTGTTAACTCTGCTCCACGAGCATTTATTAAGCAGAGAAGTGGGGGGAGAACGTCCATGATGCTTTCCCTTAGTGGTAGTTAATTAGGAAAACCGAAGCCCAGGGAATTGGAAGCTCAGTTCATCATAGTAAACCAGGAACTCATTGTGGCCTCTCACAGGACAAACCACTTCATCTTCCAGCTCTCCAGCCCCCGGACGGCGTCCACAGCTGTTAAATGGGAGGAGAACAACTGGGTGGTCCATAGGCCCCTCATCATTGAGAGTTTCGGATGGTGGCTCCTTAACCAGTAAAACAGAGCTGGAAAATTTGAGTCGAGTCCCTGTGGGCTTGTGGGTTGCAGAGCCGAGTTAAAATCTGTGCCTTAAGCAAGCAGCCCTCAAAGCCTCAAGTCTCCGGGGCAGGTGCACTGTGTACCTCCTAAGATCAAGGCTGCCCTTGGTTCCCCAGGCCTTCCAGCAGTCACAGAGGCTCCCCCTGCCCCATCCCATGATGCAAACTCATGGAGGTGGGGGGGTGTGCCTGTCCCCTGCCAGGTCCTCATGGAGCACAAGGCCACCGTCATCCAGAAGCACGTGCGAGGCTGGAGGGCGCGCAGGCGTTTCCTGCAGCTGCGGGCCGCGGCCATCGTCATGCAGTGTGCCTTCCGGAGGCTCAAGGCCAAGCGGGAGCTGAAGGCCCTCAAGATCGAGGCTCGCTCGGCGGAGCACCTGAAGCGGCTCAACGTGGGCATGGAGAACAAGGTGGTCCAGCTGCAGCGGAAGATCGACGACCAGGTGAGCGGCAGGGGCTCTGCCCCGGGGCGCAGCGCCCGGGCATGGCCGAGAGAGACTCACGGCTTCCTGGGGCGCTGCACCTGCCAGAGACTGATGGTGAGACAGTTGCTGACCGCATAGGCAGAAAAGTGCCCCCTAGTGATGCAGTCCCCAGTCCCTGGGGGGGATGGGGGGTGTAACCTCCCGTGGTACCGGGGACTCTGATTAAGTGTCACAAGAGGAGAGGACAGCCCTGGTGGGCCTGATGTCATCACGGGGCTCCTCCTGACGAGGCTGGAGGGGCAGGGGTAGGCAGAGTTTTGCGGGTGTGCAGGCACCTGTGGAAGCTGGGAAAGGTACCCAGAGCCTCGAGAATGAACAAGCCCTGCTGACCCCACCTGGACGTCTGACCCAGATGTGCAAGATAGTAGGCTGAGGCCATCGGTTATGGCAGTGACGGGGAGCTGGTGCAGTGCCCAAGCCTTGCCCTTTGGTGCTGATGGAGGGCACGGAGCTAGCGCTCTGCCCGTGGTAGGTTGTCTGCTCCCCATAACAGAGTCACATGCAGGTGACAGTGGTGGGGCCCTGGCTGCTGGCTCCAGAGCCCGTGCCCATCACCACTCTGCCCTGCTGCCTCTCTGTCCCACTGGGTGCTGGAAATGGCATTCACTGCTGAATCAGTGCCATTCAGGTTCAGCTCTGCTGCTTGAAAGTTGAGTGGGTGACTTAACCACTCTGAGCCTCAGTTTTCCTGTCTCTACAATGGGGCTATAAGAAAACTGAATGCTCTAACACATTGGAAGGCCCTGGGATGCAGTAGAAAAACGTTACCAGTACTATTGAGTCGGGGCATTTGTCCTCTGAGTTTCCACTCGGGGAGGGGACAGATTACTACACGGAATTCACATAAGCACAGGCCTGTTGGTTCACACAAGTGGGTGCCCATGTCCTTGTGCCCCCCTGGGGGGCCGGTGGCCATCCCTCATCCTCTGCAGAACCTGACGGTTCCAGTGCACACAGTGGCTTTGGCATGGTTGGGTGCTGTCTTTCAAGGGCAGACTCGTGTGCCAGTGAGGCCAGCAGCTTCCGGTCCCTCTTGCTTCTGAGCACCTGCCTGGCACCAAGCCCCACGATCAGTGCTTTTCTGCTGCCTCGCTTGGTCCTCACAACGCCATGGGGTGCTCTCATAGCTGAGGAAACTCTGGGTCAAGCACAGTAAGTTCCTTTCCAGGGTCAAGGTTAGAAAGTGCTAGAACCTGGGTCTGACCCCACAGCCACAGTGGCGGTGGGAGGGGTGCTCGTTTTAACCTAGCCATGGCCAATGCCTTCTTTCCTGTGACTTGGGTTCCCAGGGTCTAAAGTAGATTCGTGGTTCCTTGGCTCATGTCGGGTGTTATGGTGACCCCAGGACCCTAAATGGTTCTGCAGTGCCCCAGCAGGTTCCTGATGGCTCCTGAGATGGGAAGGGAGTGGCGAGAAAGAGAGGGAGTTAGAGTTGGGGCCACCAGGCGTGGCCTTGGAGGCCAGTGTTTTGACAGCCTGTTCTGCACTGGGGGGTGGTTTTAAGCTGCTTGTGACCCCACCTGGGCAGAGCAGTAAATGAGCCACCTTGTACCTGGATGGGCTGCCCTGAACAAGATCCCAGGAGCAGTGCACGGACGGCAGCAGGAGGTCCCTGCTTCCCCCTCCTGACACACAGCAGGCTTTCTGCACGGTGACTGTCACCCTGGCTGTCTCCTCTCTGGGTGAGTCCTGCAGGATGCCTTGTTTGCCTGGGCTGCTTCACGGGTATGCAAGACAGAAAGCCCCAGCCCAGGGGAGAACACACTCAGTCCCTGTGCCCTGTCCACCTGCGGTGATGCCCCAGGTCAGGGAGGGAGGCCCACCTGCTCCGAGAGACAGAGAGTGCAGAGGAGGAGGGTGGGTCTGGCACTGGCTGTTCCACGCAAACCCAAAAACACCATGGTGTGGTTAGTACTGTGTGGTTGCTGGTGGATGGCCAGAAAGGGCACTGCATGGTCAGATGTCATCAGGTAACGTTCCAGACAAGCGGCCTCCGACCCCAGCCCCTGCCAGGAGCCCTAGGAGCCGCCGGCCATGCTCACCCTGGGTTTCCAGCCGTTGGGCTCTGCATTGACATTGATGGTTCCCAAAGTTGCCTTGAGAGGATAAAAATAAATCAAGTATTTTACAATCCACGTGCCTGAGCATCAAAGAGAAGCAGATTCAAAGGCCTATTTTTAAAAAGAGCTTTTTGGCCCTAAGCTTCCTGCTTGGAGCATCTGTGCAGAGTGGCAGGTGGCAGCCACCCCGTGCAGGGCACCCTGCGTGCGAGGGGGTCAGGACGCACGATGGGGCCTTGCTTCCTCCTGCCCCCACGTCTCCTTTGCCTGTATGCCAGGCCTCACCCTCCTATATTTTGACTCATTTAATCCTCACCATAACCATGTGAGAATAACGGTAATATTGTTCCTGTTTTAAAAACCAGGGAACTGAGGCACAGAGAGGTGTTAAGTAGCCTGCCTGAGGTCGTATGGCTATGTTGTAACACAGCTGGGTTTAAACTTGATGTCAAGGGGTAGGTTCTGCACCCTCTGACAAAACTGTGGGGTCTCTGCCCACTGGGAGACCCTTGGGACTGAGAGCTCCTCAATGCAGGGGAGACTCTTACCTTGGCAAGAGGCCATGGTCATGGAGAAGGCATCGTCATGGGGACCGGCCAGTGTCTTACAGTGGGGGTGTGGCCTGGTGTCGGAGGATGTGCTTGACTGGCTGCTTGTTGATTGGGTCCTTTAGCAGGTGGGGCAAGGAGTTCATAAGTAAATGAGTTTCTTTTTCCTGTAACTCCTGGAGACAGTGCAGGTAGCTGCCCTGTTGATGCAAAAGGTTCTGAAGCCAGGAGGAGACGGGCATTTGTCAGGAGCTCCATAGGCCAAAATGTGCCACAGAGTTCCAGCTGCACAGAGGTCTGGGTGCTGGCTCAGCTGTAGTAGCCAGAGCCGCCAGCTTGGACATAATCGGGCCTTGAGTTCCTCCAAGGGGACCTCCAGCCCAGACATTAACCCATACCATGATCTGGCTAAAGCGGGGTTCCTGTCCCCTAGCTGCACTGCAGAATCACCTGAGCGAGGGGAGGGTTTTTTTTTTTTTTATTTTTGAGAGGTAGAGTTACAGAGAGAGAGAGTGTGTGTGTGTGTGTTTTAGAGAGAGAGAGGTCTTCCTTCTGTTGGTTCATCCCCCAAATGGCCGCTGCAGCCGGCCACCTCGCTGATCCGAAGCCAGGAGCCAGGTGCTTCCTCCTGGTCTCCCATGCGGGTGCCGGGGCCCAAGCACTTGGGCCATCCTCCACTGCCTTCCGGGGCCACAGCAGAGAGCTGGACGGGAAGAGGAGCAACCGGGACTAGAACCCAGCGCCCATATGGGATGCCAGGGCCGCAGGCGGAGGATTAACCAAGTGAGCCATGGCTCCGGCCCCTCGAGAGGGAGGTATTGAAAGTATCCCCACTTGCAAACTGTTGAAATCTTTACTTAGTATCTACTAAATTGATCTTCTGTATATAAAGATAATTGAAAATAAATCTTGATGAAGAATGTGATGGGAGAGGGAGTGGGAGATGGGATGGTTGTGGGTTGGAGGGTGGTTATGGGGGGGAAAGCCACTGTAATCCAAAAGTTGTACTTTGGAAATTTATATTTATTGAATAAAAGTTAAAAAAAAAAAAAAAGTATCCCCACTGTCAAGAAGTCAGCAAGGGATGCACTGAAAGATAAAGCCAGGGTAAGGTTAGCAGATTCATATCCCAAGGTCTTGGGCACATAGCTGTGGAGAAAAGACACAAATTTAACACTGAATTCCCAAGAGATAAGAAACAGGGTCAGTGCAGAGCTCTTGAAAAGCAAAATCAATCAGAGGGTTGGAGCTGTCCGTGGTGCTGACGTGTTATCTCTGTGGGGCTCCGTGACCCACGATAATCCACATGCCTTCATGGTGTCCTTTTTAGCAGTAAACATGGTGCTGGTTCCTGGGCCACCTCGTCCAGTTGCCCTGGTGTAGTGCCCTGGGCTGACATCCTTCAGCCACAATGTTGTAGCACATAAACTCAGCTCTCTGCCAGTCTGCTTTGTTCAAACACACGTATAGAGTAACTCAGCCAGTTGAATTCACACATTTCTTTTTATAATAAGAATCAAGTTTCTTATACCCATAAACATATATATATATAATGTTACATTTATATATGTATATCTTAAAAATAGGATGCTAATCTGTGTATTTGGGTCAGTAGCTTTTAAATCGATTTGATTCACTGGGCACTTAGTAAATTAATATTTTATGATTCACAAAGGGCATTCATATGTTTGAAAGATAGTGTAACTCACAGACATGTGGCCTTCCTGTGCCTCAGCTTTCTTGGCTGTGAAATGGGGGCTTAGATCGTATTCAGTAGTATTTACAAGTGAGGAGTGAATGAGTAACAGACGCTCACAGTAAGCACCTGTTCATGGCTGTGGTGTTGGGGGCGTGTGCTGCTGCTGTTCACCAAGCAGATGGTCTTGTAATGGTTTGCTTGTCCTCCCTCCACCCGCTTGGCCTATAGAGCATCAGTTGGGATCCACCCTGGTTGTGCAGGCTGTACACTGGACAAGGGTGTCTGGCAGCAGAGACCAGTGAGGGCTAGCCCCTGCTCTGTTTGATCACAAGTCTGCCCTACACCAGTGCTGTCCTGAGGGAGGGATATTCTTGGTTCCCAACTGTGTACCCCTGGGGCGTTCTGTCCACTCACAGGGGCAACTCTAGGGAGTCCAGCACCTCGGGAGAGGGGCTTTTTCTGGTTACCCAACGGAGCTGTAGGGACCAGCAGAGCCCCTGGAGTCATTGGTTGGAGGAGCAGATGTGTGTCTTGGAAAGCCGGGCATTTCCAACCTGAAAAAGATCTTGCCTGAGCCTTTGAAAACAATGACAGAGCAGAGCCCGGGTTCCTGCTCTGCATCCTCATTGCCAGCGGAGGGCAGAGCTGTGCTCTTTTGCAGCAGGAGTAGGGCGAGGTCTGAGGAGTGCAAGGGGAGCAGGGCCCGTCTAGGAATCGCCTAGTGTCAGGAGGCGTCCTTCCTGTTGCAGGACAAGGCTGGCGGTATCTCTGCATGACACAGGCTCAGCAGCTTTGTGAACTTGGCCATCACAGTCAGGGTGTGGGGGCCTGGGGGAGGAGTGCCCCCTGCCAGTCACGCCCTGTGCCAGGCTGGGCTCCATGGTCATGATGTCCACAGGCGTGGGGATGCACCCTTCTGGGTCTTCCCTTCTGAAGTCACTCACCCAAGACACAGATGTCCATCTCGGGGCCCTGCCGTTATGTTTGGGTGCAATGACAACAAGGGGCTGCCCGAGTTTGAGGTTCCTCACCCATAAACTCCCGAGCGTCTCTCCAAGGGACTCCTGCAGCATTCTGATGATGATAGCTGGCATTTATTGAGCACTGTCTGCATGCCTGGCACCTGGCCAAGCACTTTATCTCCTGAGATCTTCATGATAACGCCAGGAGGTGGAGTTACTCCTACTCTGCTTTACCTGTGAGTACCTGGGGGCCCCAGAAGGGCAGGTGAGTGGACCAGACATTCACAGCAGGTCCAGGATGCAGCTGGGCTCTGGGGGAAGGGTCTGTCCAGCTGCATCCCTCTTACCTCATCTCCCTGAGCCCATCTAGAGTAGTACCAGTATTAGCAAAGCTGGGTTCCCGAGACACAGTGCACTTTGCCTCGGGGTCTTGAGGGGTCATCTTTGTCCAGAGCAGGTGTCCCTGCCACCCCAGGTGCCTCTTCCCATACCCAGCCAGCTCCACCTGGAGACCCTTCAGCCCAGCGCTTCTCCCCACTGCTGGTAGACAGCTGGGTTGTACCCCACTGCCAACCCTGAACAGAGAGGAGGTCTGAGGGTGGCTGGTCCAGCTGTGTGGAGGCCCTCAGCCTCCAGTGGAGACCGAGCCCAGAGTGGGTGCTACAGACAGGTATTGGGGTTTTTAGGTCAATGCTGTGTAACTGGAGCCTTCTTTGTGGTTCGTGAGAGTGAGGCTGGCAGTCGGACCAGGCGTGAAGATGAATCGGTTGCACTGAGAGGCTCCCAGGGAGTCGAGGGGACCTGGCTCTGCCCCACAGGTCACGGTGGTGAGGTCCTACAGTGTGTGTGGTGCGGTATGGGACCCCACAGCTTTCCTGTGACTGCTCCCTGCTGCTCTGTGTGTGGTTGAGTTTCTTGTGTGAGTTAATCACCGACTCCTGATGCCCCTGGTGTATGGGCGTCTTCCCCAATGGCACTGCTCCTCTTGGAGCTCCCGCAGTGTGCAGCTGTGGAGCGTAATCAATGCCTGTTTGTCGCTTGATTATTTGGAGACCCCTTCCTTCCTCATCCCTGCTCACCGTTTCGAGCTGACACTCTCATCTCTTGCACAGTTTCTGCCCATGATTCGCACTTGCACTTGACCCCAGCCCTCTCTCTGGAGCTCTGAGCACGGGGGGTGGGGGGGGCCTCCCATCCTCACGGCTGCAGGGTGCCTGGTGGACTAGGGCCTGGATGCCTTGTGTGCAGGGCTGCAGCATGGGCGGGTTCTGCCAGGCATCGGTTTCCAGGGTCAGAGTCTGAGCGGGCCAGCTGTGGCCAACAGGTGGGAGAGGAGGCCTCCTTGGAAGAGGGGCTGCTGAAGGGGTCCTTTGTCTCAGAACCAGCGATTAGGTTGCAGCTCTTTGTGCCAGCAAGTCCAAGGGCAGGAGGGGCTCCGTGTAAAAGAGCCAGGGAGGTAGCTACATCATTTCTGCAGCTCGAAAACCAGCAGAGGCTCTGTGCACCTGCCACAGGGAGCTACCTGCTGCCCACGCTCCAAGAACTCCAAGCTCCTTGAACCACTTCAGTGTCAGTGTTGCTGGCTCGCTCCCCTCTGCTTCTCCCAGGCCCACAATAGAGCTTTGTTAGGACGATGCCAGGGAAGCACTCGAGCGTGTAATGATTGTAGGGTTTAATTCCACCTTGGAAGTTCCTTTTTTTGATTGCCTTCATGCTTTCTCCTGGCCCATTAACCCTCTCTTTCCCTTCCTCCCCCTCCCTTCGTTTGCCGATGTTCTCCCCAGAACAAAGAGTTCAAGACCCTGTCGGAGCAGTTGTCGGCGGTCACCTCCACACACGCCATGGAGGTGGAGAAGCTGAAGAGGGAGCTGGCGCGCTACCAGCAGAGCCAGGACGGGGACGCCAGCCTGCAGCTGCAGGAGGAGGTGCAGAGCCTGCGCACGGAGCTGCAGAGGGCGCACTCGGAGCGCAGGGTCCTGGAGGACGCCCACAGCAGGGAGAAGGACCAGCTGAGGAAGGTAGGCCAGGGCCGGTGGGGGAAGGGGGCGGCTTCTCTGTCTGCGACCCAGAGCCTTGCCCTGGACTCCCCTGGGGCCCGTGCCCACGGCTGACCATCATGTGAGTGTGGACGCACGGAGGCTGTGCTTTGGGGGAGCCCACACTCCAGTGTCCGTTCACCCAGCACGTGTGACGGAGTTGCTGGACACCACTGCCTCCCCTGAGAGCCTCTGCCCTGGAGCCGCCGCCTCTCTGGCCCGGCTCTGTAGCCAGAGTGCTGATGAGCAAGAGACGCGGCTCAGAGGCAGGGGCTGTTCTTCTTGACCTTGCCCTCAGGGCTCAGGGGAGGCCTCTCGACGTCCCATCCCTGCCCCATGAACCACGGCGCCCTGGGAGCTCTGCCCTGAGTCAGCGCCCATGGCTCCAGCCGAACCAGTGCCCTCCACAGCCTTCCTCTCCACCCCAGGAGATGCACTTGCCCTGCTCCTCCAAAGACCCAGGCACCGGGGCTCCCTTCTCCTCCCACAAGACAGCTGCTCCTACCAGGATGGTCCCCCGGTGCTGCCAGAGAGCCCTCTGTGGCCTGGAACGCTGCTGCATGCTCCCAGCTGTACCGCAAGCCCTGGGCCACAAGGAAAAGAGCTGCTGTCCTTTGTAGGGCATCACCGTGATTTGGGAATTGGGAGGGTGAGATGCAGTGTTCATAACATTAGTGTAACAACCAGAAAACTAGGATGTTGGCATGGAAAGGGCCCTGGATTGGTGCTGGAACATCAAAGAGGCTCTCATCCTCGCTTGGCTATTCCCTGGCACATGCAGGAAACCTCCCTGGCCTTAGTTCCCTCTTAAGGGTTGAGAACGCTGGTGCAGAACACCTGTCGGGCTCTGTGTGGACGTGCAGGGGTGACTCCGTGAGATCGTGTTTGACGGCTTCTGGAAAGAGTGCAGGCCTCAGCCCTGCTCCGTTGCTCTCTCTCCACCCCTGCTTCTCTGTCCTGGCCTCGGCCCCACAGGCTGAGAACCATGAAAATTCCCATGAGAAAGCCTGCAGAGCCAGTTCATTTTTCCACCCCAAGGCAGAGTTTGGGCACCCTTAGCTGCTGCCTTCACCCAGGTCCCAGGATTTCCAGGGTGGGGTGGGAGCAGGATTCCCATGGGGATTGGGTGATGCGGAGAGTCAGATGTGGGGCTTCCCAGAGCTGCCAGCCTAGCAGGGAAGAGGTCAGCCCTCCCAGGGGGTTGCTTGGAGGCACCACGAGGCCTGCCGCAGACTCTGTTCTTGGGGATAAAGCGTGCAGTGCTAGGAGACTCCTGCACCCTGCACACTGTGGGCTTCCGCACATAGGACCTGCTGGCCCTTGGGATCTGCTGGGTGGTAACATTTCCAGGTGATTCAAAAAGAAAGTGGAATCCAGAGGCAGAAAGAGGTAGTCACAATTTGACGTGGAAACTGAGAGATTGGTGACCCTGGGAGAGAACAGGAAGAGAAAGCCCCACCACCACCTGCACATCCCACTTAGATCGGACGGCCTTGAAGCCAGTCTTCCTGGCAGAGCCACAGGCCCAGGGCCTCCCCAGCAGGTAGCCCTCAACCCATCCCCTTCCCAGTCTCGCTCAGCGTTGAGCCTTGGAGGCTCAGAGCACTTAGACACACAAGTCCCCATCCAAGAGAGCATAATAGTTTAAAAAACGTATTTATTTGAAAGGCAGCGTTAACCAGAGGAAGAAGAGACTGATCTTCCATCCACTGGTCTGCTTCCCAAATGGTCACGATGGCTGAGACTGGGCCAGGCTGAAACCAGGAGTCTGGAGCTTCCTCCAGGTCTCCCACATGGGTGCAGTGGCCCAGGCCATCATTAGGGAGCTGGATTGGAAGTGGAGCTGCCAGGACACGAACCAGCCCCGTATGGGATGCTGGCACCGCAAGTGGTCACTTAACCCACGGTGGCAGCACCACGCCACAGTGCTGGTCCCGGACACAATGGTTTCTAGTATCAAAATCTTGGCAGAGTGAAAAAACAAGGAGGCTTCCTCCTTGCTTCTGTAGAAAATCGCTGCTATTTCCCAGGGGTGTGTTCGTCTGGGACTTCAATAAGAGCAGAGCTTGGAACTGGCAGGAAAAGGAAGCTGGACGCTGTGCGAAGGGAACAGCAGTGAGCTGTGTCCTCCAGCCTGTGTCTGCCCTCTGCAGGGAAAGTGGACAGCCGCGTCCTCCTCTGGGGACTTCAGAACCACCTTCTAGTGGTGGGCACCAGGGAGGGGCGTCTTCCGTGCTACGCAGGGGTTAATGTTTATCCAGGGCACTGGCTGCGATCCGATCGAATGCTGAAGAACCGCACAGTTGGTTTCCTGCTGGGCACTCCCGGGCTGGACAAGGCCAGCCGAGCGTACACCGGGGCGGGGCGGCTGCTGGGAGACTTCCTTCGCAGGTTTGATGTTTCGGTCACGTGGACAGCCAATGCCCTATCAGAACTGGCATCCTGGTACCCTCCAGATGGCACTCGTGTCAGCCGCGTGGCACCCTGCCTTGGCCCGTGGGAGACCAGGTCCCGCAGGAGTTTATCTCGGTGTGGCTGCGTCCCAGCCGGCTCTATCCAGAGCCCAGGGCATTGGGCAGCATCCTCACCTGCTGAATGGACGCCTTGCTTGGGCCTCTCTGTCGGGCAGGCCCCGCCCTAGCCCCTCCCCTTTGAGCCTGGGCAGCGTGCATGCTTCATTCTTTTTGAAGTCCTCAGCAGTCCCCACACTGGTGGCTTTTGTGCCCCCGTGTTGGGGCACATGTGTCTCTGCTGTTCACTGCCCTTGACAGCGGTGGTGGCTCTCGGGCAGCCCTTGGCACAGGGCAGCGGCTCATTATCCAGGATCTGCCCTGTGGGTAGAAGGGCTGGCAGGAGTGGGCAGGGAGCAAGGCCTAGCTGGGTGCAGGGCTGCACTGAGGAATAGCCGTCCACAACCAGGTGCCTGGCTCTGAGTGAGGGTCCTGGGCACTTGCGAGGGATGCCCAGCAGGCCCCAGCCCTGACGGGAGGGGAGGGAGAAGGTGGGGTGCAGTGGGGCTGTTGTTGCCTGGTGTTGTCAATATTGACCCATCAGCCTCGAGTTGGTTAGCTTGCGTGGTTCCAATACAAAGGCTTCAGATTTTTCCAAATACAAGTAGAAAGATCTGGCTGATGGGTAAGGCACTCTCATGACAGAATGTTCTGGGCCTTCTCCCCCGAGGTGCAAAGCAGGATTTCTGTGGCCAGCTAAGGCTTGGAGTTGTGCTCCTGGCGCGAGGAGGCTGACAGCTGGGAGAAGGGGGACCCTGACTTGTCCCCTCGCACCGTAGAAGTCATATACGTTCATGGCCCTGCACTCACTCGCTCCACAGGTGTGTGTTGAGTGCCTGTGTGTTGGACACTTCTAGAAGTAAACAATGAAGAAGGAGTCCTTGATCTTACGGGGTGCACATGTGCAGGGGTGAGGGGAGAGGAGTCGTACAGCTTGTCCACCGTGTGCCGTAAAGGAAGCAGAGCCAAGGGGCTGGCGAGTGTCCCGGGGGCTGCGGGCTGCAGTTGCACATGTGGCGTCCAGAGGCCTCTCTCAGGAGACACCGGAGCGAGGGGAGCAGCAGCAGGTGCGCAGGCGCTGAGTGCGTGGCAATTGCCTGGGCAGCTTTGCGGACAGGAGGGGCCTGCAGGCGGCGCCATGGAGGAGGAGGATGTGGGAGGTGCTGAGGTCTGAGCGGCCGTGGGGTCCGGTCAGGGCCTGTGACCCTCCAGGGAGGTGACCAGCTCCTAGGGGTGAGAGGTGAAACACCACCTTCTGAACCATCTCGAAGACATTTTAATGCATCTCAGAGTTGCCTTAATGTCCAAACGACGTTGATTTTCAACTTTACCTTTCACATCTCACCTTCCGGTTTAAAAAATGAGTAATATTCTTACTTGGGAGAAAATGTACACTCAGAATGGGCAAGTAAAACCCCTTAGGATTTTGCCAAATCAAGCTATAGTCCCTGCCAAGGGCCGTGGTTACAGATCTCTGCCGAAAGGCAGGGGCACCCCCGGGGAGTGGGTGCAAGCCGGTGCCTGGACAGACAGGGCTGCTGGTCCTTGGCTGAGAAGACAAGAAAGGGAGGCAGTTGTTTTCTCCTTTGGTTTGGCTGTGTTCTTATTTTCTCATTACCTTGTGTGCACAGGAAGACGAGTGAGTTTTTCCAAGAAAAAGAGGAAGGCCCCACGGATCCCAGTTCTCTGTCTCTGGGTCCATCTTGCTGGCTCCTGCCAAGTTCATCTGCCTAGAATACTGCTCCTCCTGCCTTTGCTTGGTGCTCATTATCTCTGCAAACCCTTGGCTGCACGAGGATTCCCTTCCTCATGGAAAAGGACCCAGACTGCTCAGAGCAGAGCCCAGCTGCACCCTCCCGTCCGTGGGACCCTCAGTGAATTCTCTAACCCATCTGTGCCTTGGTTGTCTTAAAAGCATGTACAGGTTATGTTTGCCCCAACGACAGTGCTTGGATTCGCTGAGAGTTGGGTGGGTCTTCACTCAGCTACCTTGTAACTGCTCTGCAGTCTGAGTTCTCCCAGAGTGGCGAGAGCACTTCACAAAGTTCAAGGCAGATGGGCAGATGCACGGGGATCCTCAGCTTGAGCTTTTCCGTGGGCTTTTCGAAGCACCTTCATTCCTTTGACTAAGACCTGAGCCCCGCGACGCCTGTGGGCTCTGCCCCCTGGTGGTTCCAGTGGGACAGCCATTCCCCGCCCTAGAGCAACCTGGGGGTACCCACCCTCAGCCTCCCTTCTCTCACTGGCACAGGCGCCATGTCTCAGGCCAGCTCAGAGTTTGTGTCTGTGTGTGGTGGCTTTTTCTTTCTGTCTTCTTTTGTCCCTTGGCTAATTAACTGCCCACTTCTGCCGTGTTCTCTTGCTTATGTTTACCTCAAGCTTTCCCAGGACCTGGCGGAATTAGGAGTGTGGTTCCTACCAAGGGCCACGCCCATGCCTTACTGCTGCATGGTGGGTGCCCAGCGTCAGGGACACAACAGATGGCCCTCTCCTGGTTGGCGTTGTCCGACTGGCTTGCCTCGCAGTTCTGGGGACCTTGTGGTTGGCTCTCCGTAGACTATCCCATGTGAACCACAAGATGAGACCAAGCCCGTGGCTATGTTTGTGTCCCCAGAGCCGGACCAGTAAAGGCAGTTCTCCAGTAGGTGCCTGGGCCTCCTCATTGAACTTGACAGGGACTGTGCTAGCCCGAGTTACAGCGTGCCCTGCTGTGGCTTCTCATGAGCTTGCACACGAAACATCTCGTTCCTTCCCTCCCCTCCCCCTCCCCAAGAAGCGCTACCGAATGGAGTTTAGTGAGTCCTGGAGCCTAGCGAAGGTGTCATTCATCCTGCTCAGGAGAGCACACCTGCCGCCTCTGTGCTCTCAAAGCATACTCACTGCCCGCGACGTCCCTGGCAGCTCGCAGGAGGGCGCCGTGTGGCTGCCCATTTTTGGCACCTGCCGTCTCTACCAACAAGCTGCCAATGCTGGCGGGAAGGGCGAGAGTGGCCAGTACGCAGGCGCGTGTGGCTGGGGAAAACACTGTCTGCTGTCCCTGGGGTGTGGAGCCTGACCGTGCGCTTGGTCTTGTCCTGCCATTCGCTAGAGAGAAGAAACACGGTTGCCTCTCAAACTATTCAGGTGAGCAAGAAAAACAGCTCACCGGGTGCTACCCAGAGCCCAGAGCCCCTACACGGAGCTCTGGGAGGCCTGCATCTGGGAACCAAAGCCTTGGGAGGGAAGGAATGAGGGACAGAAATGACGGCTGGCCGGTGTCGGCTGTTCTCCCACACTGTAGCCCAGGCTCAGGTTTCAGATCATGGCTTGTTGCTACGAATGGAGATTCAGGTTTCTGCCCCGTGGCAGTGGGGTGGACTCTGGTCAGGGCCTGGGCGCTGTGTGTGTCCCTCAGAGAAAGGCAGGGTGGGTGCTGAACCGGCTAACGAGCCTTGCAGGTGTTTGGAGGGCAGTGAAGGGGAGGCAAAGTCTCTTCCCAGCCTGCTATGATGACACCCCACCACCACCACCAACTGCCACCAGCTGTTGACAAACTCAGGCTGTGGCCGTGGTCCTGGTGGGCAGGTCTGCGGTCCTGCGCTCCCTTCCAGCTCCGTTGCACCCCTAGGGCTTGGCTTCCTAGTGGTCCATACGGCACAATTTACCCTGTGGGTTGTCAGTTGGATGAGACTCAGGCATTCCAGAAAAGCGAGAGAGAGATCCTAATTTGTCAGGCTAATTTAAGAGTACTTCTGCAGTCACTGGGTGGCAAACTGCAATAATTGCAAATCAGGTATGTTTGAGGAGTGTTTTCCCCTTGCATTTTAATGCTTCTGAATTGTTTGATTAAACAAGCTCATCAAGTACTTCAATGTGTACATGTGTTTAAGCTGGCTATAAGCACATCAGTAAAGATGCTTTAAAGAGAGCCTTTTCAGCTGATGCAAGTGTAGGCTCCTTAACCGCAGGCCCTGGGTCCATGCCACTGCTGTCCATGTGCAGGTGGCGGGCTGGGTTCTGAACATGCAACAGCCTGGCAGTGGGTCTCCTGGTCCATACTGGGCCTCAAGTCCAGGCTGAGTAGGCAGGCAGCCAAGAAGCAATGCAGATGGATGGAGCCTCAAATAGACCCTGTAGAGGCAGGACACTACGCAGCTCTGCACACTTGCAAGATAGGTCTTCCTGGAAGACTGGGTCAAGCTGATTGAACAGAAGTAGCTAACCTCTAGGAGTGGAGTTTTCATGGTGGGGAGAGACAGGCAGGCATTTAGTGTAGCAGCCAAGAAACCACTTGGGGCACCTTGCTTGTCCTATTGGGAGTGCCCAGATTTGAGTCCCAGCTCTGCTCCAAATTCTGCTTCCTGCTATCGCGCACCCTGAGAAGAAGCAGACCATGACTCAAGGACTCGAGTCCCTGATACTCACGTAGGAGACCTGGATGGAGTTCTAGCTCTGGCCCGACCCAGACCCAACAACCATTGTGGGCATTTGCAGAGAGAACTGCTGGGTGAGAGCTTAATTCTGTTTCTCCACCTTTCAAATAAATCAAAAAGCATTCTTAAGAGCAGGCTTCTTTCTAAAGCCCAACAGAAGGAACAGGGAAAACCTGGGAGCTGGGGGCAGGCAGAGGCCAGATGAGCTGGACCTGTTGCAGCGTTGTTAGGAGTGCAAGGAGGAGAGTCCCAGTCTATCCCAAGGATGGGGGAGCAGCCTCATAGTCCACCCGCCCTGCTGTGAGTCCCCTGTCCCCAGCCAGGTGTAGTTCCAGCAGCACGGAGCTCTTCACATTGTCAAGCCTCTGTCCCTGTGGGCCAGTGCTTTGCTCTGCCTAGAATGCTCCTCCCCCTGCAGCCGAGACATCCGGCCCCCTCTTCCCTGGGAGTTCCCTGGACCTTGATGCTGGCTGTTGTCACCCCCTCTTCCCTCTGATCTGGTGTTGTGGTTCTTGGAGGACCTGTGACGATGCCTAGAGGCGTCCTGGTTGTCTGGAAAAGGGGGACGAGGAGGGTCTACTGGCCTCGAGTGGGTGGAAGTCAAGGAGGTTGCTGAGCGCAGAGCCGCCCTTCCAGGACAAAGAGGTGCCCAGCCCGGAATGTTGGCAGTGCCCGCACTGTGGAAGCCGCCTCTGTCCTCTCAGCCCCTCGGAGGCCCATAAAGTGATTCATTTGTAAATTATTGTGGTTTTGTGCATTAAAATGCTTGTTTCCGGGGGAGGGATCTGAATGTCTTCTATTTTCCTTGCCTAATTGCTCTGGCCAGAACTTCTAGTACAAATTTGAGTAAATGTGGCAAGAGGAAGACGTTTTTGTCATTTTCCTGATCTTGGAGAGAAAAAAAGCTTTGTGTGACACCTTGAAGTGGGCTATCAGCTGGGGGAGGGGGGATTGAAAATGGCCTTTACTAGGCTGAGGAAGTGCCCTTCTATTCCTGGTGTGTTGACAATGTTTGAACCAATATTCCTAAGAGATCCTGGCCTGTGCTTTTGTGTTCTTGTGATTTGTGAGCGTTGGTATTGGAGTAATACTTGATCCAGAAAATGAGTTGTAAGTGCTTCCTCTTGCTTTTATGTGAAAAACAGATAATTTTTTTTTTTAAGATTTATTGATTTATTTTGAAAGGCAGGGTTGGAGGCAGAGAGGTCTTCCATCTGCTGGTTCACTCCCTAGATGGCCACAATAGCTGGAGCTGGGCTGATCTGGAGCCAGGAGCTTCCTCCGAGTCACCCACATGGGTACAGGGCCCCAAAGACTTGGGCCATCTTCTTCTGCCTCCAAGTCCATAGCAGAGAGCTGGATCAGAAGTGGAGCAGCTGGGACTCAAACTGGCTCCCATATGGGATGCCGGCACTGCAGGCGGTGACTTTACCTGCTACACCACAGCACCAGTCCTGAAAAATAGATATTCTTTAAATTCCCGGCAGGTGGCAGAGCAGTTTCAAAGGCTGTTTCCTTTCGGTGCCTGGCCGTGGTGACGCTGTGGGCCTGTGCAGGTGCGCGGATCGCGCACTGTGTGCAGCGCCTGCTGCTTGGGGCGTCACAGGCGGCCGCTGCTTCAGTGCAGACGACAGCCCTGCGAGGCGGCTGTCAGGCTGCAGGGGCCCCGCTCTGTGTGGCTGCTGAGCGCCCCTGCTTCACCGTGGACCAGGACTTCTCTCTCTGGGGAGCTGTGATGGCTCAGCCATCCGGGAAGTGAGGGCTCAGGTCTGGGGCCTGGGTTGAGGGGCGCTGGCCCATGTTCTGCCTCCTCTCCCAACTGTGTCTTCGTCTATGTCACAAAGGCAAGACTTTGATGGGGAAAGCGACGTGATGGCATCTCCAGGGGTTCCAAACTCAAAGGTGGATCCGTTGCAATTTAGCCCCCACGTGGTACAAGAGAGCTGACCGTTCTCATCCTTTCACCAATAGTTGCAAATTCTTAGAATATTCCGGAACTAGTACATTTTTGAAATCCATACCAATTTTGCTCCAGTAATAAATAGCAAAAACAAAACAAACAAAAAAACCTTCTTTAAAAAAAAACTTGACTTACACATTTTTTTTTAACTCTTATTTTTCTTTGACCAGACCAAGGTTTTTCTTTTGGTAGCATTTCCCTTTCTGCGATTGTGTTCTGAGGACGCTTCGTGTGTGCATCGGCTGTAAGTCATCAGAAGCCAAGCACTGGCAGTGAGTGGCATGACAGTAGAAGCCCCACTCCTTTGCCCGGGGTCTGGACCGTGCAGACCCCCGAGGAAAGGCATGGGCAAGACGGGGGATGGACACTCATTGCGAGTTTCAGGTTTGGCGTTGAGAGATCAGAATTTAGCAAGGTAGGCATGCAGACACAGCGCTAGCACCTGGAGCCGTGGTCAGCTCCCCAGCCAGGCTTGAGCATGGCGTGGGCTCCCGGTGTGGCCTTGGGAGCACTGGGTGGGGAGTGCACCTGTCTTGTTTTAATAGGACTTTTCTTTCCGTGTATCCTCTTCCTTCAAAGCAGCTTTGACTGACTGAATTTTCTTAGGAAAAGGGTCCTTACTCCTAACCAGTTGACACTGAAAGCCCACCAAAGAGCCCTTGCTTTCCTCAGCATCCTGGGGAGACGTTTCTGCCCGTCGCTCTCTCTTCCAGCGCGTCGCAGACCTGGAGCAGGAGAACGCCCTCCTGAAAGATGAGAAGGAGCAGCTCAACAACCAGATCCTGGGCCAGTCCAGAGGTCAGTGCTTGGGTTTCTCGTCCAGGGGTCTCGCCAGCTCTTCCTCGCTGATTTCCCCTAGCAAGCGTGCACTTGGGGAAGCTGCTGGGTGGGGAGTGGGCCTCACGGAGGAGAGACGAGAGGCAGAGGTGACCTGTGAGGCCCTGCTGTGACCGTCCGGTGGCGGCACACTCGGGCATCCTGGACGGTGTAAGGCGAGGGCGTGAGTCGAGGGCAGGGCCTGCGCTCCAAGTACAGCTCCATCGTGTGCTTCCTGTGGCCGTGAGCGGGTGCTGGCGCTCTCCACCTGCGAGGCACAGGCCTCAGGGGGCTCATGTGAGGAGTGAGCTGCGTATGCAGGCCAGGTGCTTAGAATGGTGTCCCACACAGCACTCAGGAGCTGTGGTCTCTGCTGTTTTGCGTCTGCCTTTAGCAAGCATAGTCCCCGTCGTGGTTTCTTCTGCCGGGTGGGTCACCTGTAGATGTGTGCTCAGGAGAGGGGCTGTCAGCCCTCAGCATCCCCCCCGGTGCCGCTGGCTCAGGGAGCTGGTGCACGGCCTCGCCCCAGTCCCTGTGACCTCCAGCACCTCCCCTGCTCCCGCCCCGCCCCCCTCCCTCCCGCCACAAGGGAGGCGCCTGACCGCCGTGTGGCCCTGTGCAGATGAGGCCGCCCAAAGCTCCGTGAAGGAGAACCTGATGAAGAAGGAGCTGGAGGAGGAGCGGGCCCGGTACCAGAACCTCGTGAAGGAGTTCTCCCGGTTGGAGCAGAGATACGACAACCTGCGGGACGAGGTGGCCGTCATAAAGGCAAGGAGCCGTCCTGCCGCCCCACGCGGCCCTGTGGCCCTGCCTCGCGCCCTGTCTTCCCCCACACTGGGCGTCCAGCCGAGGCGGGCTCTGCCCCGGCCGCCGTCCTTGCTGGCCATGTCTCCTCCTTGGGACAGCTCCTTTCTCGACACCAGGCTGGGATAAAGATGCCAGTCGTGAGCTGATGGCAGATTGTGTGTGTGTGTGTGTGTGTGTGGTGTGATAAAGACCCCAATTGTGAGCTGATGGCAGATTCCACCTGTGTGTGTGTGTGTGTGTGTGTGTGAGTGAGAGAGAGAGATCGATTGATCGATCGATCGATCGATCTCCATCCAGGGTGGAGACAGTAGTGGTGTGGAGGGGGGAATTCTATCCTCAGCTTCCCTGTGTATGGCCGAGAGGCCGACAAGGGGCTGGCCACGTCTTCCGCTCTCTGAGGAGCACAGGGATGGGCAGAGACATTCCTGGGATAGTTGAGGACTTGTCATTCCCTGGGACCCCACGTGAATGTTCCCTCCAGAGGTGCACGTGCCTGCATTGCCTAGAAACCAGGGAGGGAAACGGAATAGGAACATACGTAGAAACCTAAAACTGTCCCGCCAAGCTCTGTTTCCAGTCTGAACACCAAATCTGACTTCCAAGGCGTTTGCATGTGCACGGCGTCCATGGGGACTCTACACTGCTGTTCCCTAGGCGGAAGTTGGCAGCTGTGTGCAGCCCCAGGGAGGGCCTTGGGGGACGCCCAACAAGAAGGCCAGCGACGAGACTGCCTTGCTGTGTTTTTGAGGGAAAGACTGGGGATGAAGGGTGGTTCCCCCTGGGCTTTTTGAAGAAATTAGCCAAAGTTACAGGTCTCATTAAGAGACAAGAACTCAGTCCCTACTGCGGAGCCCTCTTCTCCCCTAATTAGCTAGGGGATGGCCCAATTGTGTAGGCGAGGTGATTTCTGGGGATAGCTCTATTTAGCCATCATCCCGAGAAACGGTGATCCTCACTCTCATTGACAAACGTGGCAGAAGGCCAAGTGCTTGCAGAGAAGTCGGTGTTTGTCGGCCTTGTCATGAGCTGTCATGTGTTTCCGTTTGAACAGCAAACCCCAGGCCACAGACGGAATCCATCAAACCAGAGTAGCTTAGAATCTGACTCCAATTACCCGTCCATCTCCACGTCTGAGATCGGAGACACGGAGGATGCCCTCCAACAGGTGGAGGTGAGTAGTGGAGGCACTCGGCTGCCGTCCTGTGGGGCAGTGGCACTAGGCAGGGCTGCGTGGCCGCAATGCGCTGTCCCACGGATGGGGGCCAGGGTGCCCAGAGGCTCATTCTTGAGAGCAGAAGCCCTGGGCCTGTGGCAGGTTTCTGGACAGTGCTCTGGAGTTAGCATCTCCCATAGAAGGCCATTCACTGCTGTTCTTACCCGCTGTCCAGAAGGGGAGAGACGCGACCCTTGGCTCCTCTTTCAAAACAGAAGCCCACACAGAGGGGAAATGGGAAAGACAAACCCAGTCAGTCCAGTAGGTGCAGCTGGTCGCCCCATCCAGAGTCACAGGGAGTGTGGCAATACCAGTAACTATGCACGAAGACCCCTACCCCCACGACTTGGAAGCTGCAGAAGCCCGGAGGCCACTGCCCGTGGTTGGAGTGCAAGTGTGCAGAGGGACTGTATCTGTCAGTAGTAGCCTGTTAGAGACGCTGAATAATGGGACCCCACAGTGGACGTTACGGCCTGTGTGTAACTTTGTCAAAGGGCCGTATGTGTTCCTGTAGTGTTGGAGAAAAAATGAAAAAAGAAACCATAAGCACGTAAACTTAGATAAAGCATCCGGAGGTAGATATGAGGAGACAGTTATTTTAAACAAGTGGTTTTTAAAAAAAAAAAATTATTGCTTTGAGAGACAGAATGACTATCTCTTCTGTGTGCTGGTTCATTCCCCAAATGCCTGCAATGGCTGAGGCTGGGCTGGGCCGAGGCTGCCAGACAAACTCTGATTCCCATGGGGGTGTGGGGGTTGGAACCCAATGGCTTGAGCCATCACCCGCTGCAGGCAGGTGTGGAACCCAGGTACTCCCAGACAGGATGCCGGTGGCTCGACCACTAAGCCAAACGCTCGCCCTACAGGTGGGTTTCAAGCATGTCTTTGTGCCAGGCGATACAGACAGTAGTGACGAAGCCCGACAAGGTCCTTGCCCTCACGGAGCACCCCAGTGGAGTGTCAGACAGGGAGAGCTTAACAAAGGAAACGTGCGACAGGAGTTGCAGGTGCAGCTGTGTGCTCCTAAGGAAAAGGATGCTGAGATGGGTGGAGCGTAGAGGGATGGAAAAGGAAACGCCAGGAGCAGGGGCCTGCTCACTGTCGTGCAGTTGTGCGTGGCTTGCTGCTTGCTGCACGCACTCCGTGTGTGAGGTCCTTGGAGTTGCTATCGCAGCCTCTACACGATCCATTCTGCGTGAACTCCAGCCATGCCACCTGCTGGTGGCATGTGTGCCGGCCTGCGCTGTGGGTATGAGCACTGCCGCTGTGAGTTTTTCAAGGAAGTGGACTGGGCTCGTGCTGGCTAAGCGTAAAGCACCCGCTCCATGCTGGCAGAGTCAAGTTGTGTTATCACACACGTGCATGCGTGGGCTTAAAATCCAAAGGCGTGTGCTCATATAGATTGCCTGTTCGCAGGCACACGTTTGTACTCTCACCCCCATGCTGTGCAGAACCTGGGGGACCACACCCAGGCATGAACCTGCAGGGGAAGATAAGATCCCCTAGGAAATTGATGGGCTGTTGGACAGATGGGCACCATGGCCAAGCAGGTGTTGGTTCCGTTTCAAGGTGCATTCAAGTGGTGGGTGGCAGCTCGTGTCCAGGGCTGTGAGTCAGAGTGACCCCACTGATTCTTTGTCAGGAAGCTTTATGCCTTGAGTTTTATGATTTTGCTGGTGTGACACCGTATTCCAGAAGTGAGCAATCTTAGCTTACGAAGAACATAGCTGTGTCTGTGTCCATTTGTTCTTATAACAGGTGATGGGTCACTTGAAGTGGCTTACGCAGGAGGAATATAAATGGCTGAGACTCAGATGTTATCAGGCATAAGATGAGCCTGGAACACCAGTTTTAATATGAGAAATGCTGCTTGGCTGGCACTGGCTTTGTATTTGAGGTGCGGACTGATGCTCAGGGGGACAGAGGAGATGGTGTCAGGAGCCCAGAATTCCCTCTGGCTTGCCTGCTGTGAAAACCTCTTTTTCCCCCGCTCCTGGCTTTCTCTGCAGGAAGTCGGCCTGGAGAAGGCAGCCATGGACATGACGGTCTTCCTGAAGCTGCAGAAGAGAGTGCGGGAGCTCGAGCAGGAGAGGAAGAAGCTGCAGGGGCAGCTGGAGAAGAGAGAGCAGCAGGACAGCAGGAAAAACCAGGTGCGCGAGGGGCTGCAGTGCCCTCGTGGGGCTGGGGTGGGAGCACGGCCCGCGCACGCCTCCCGGGGCCTCTGTGGCAGGTGCGACTTTGTGGGATCGTGCTGGTTCTGGTTGCAGAGGGGGCCCTGTGTTCTCTGTGAGGGCCCCACACCACCAAGCTGAACAGGTGTAAGCTTCCATGGTATTGGCAGGCGCAGGGATTTTCCCAGGGGATCTGGGCAGGGGCGCGTCTGTGGCATCATCACCCACTTGCAGAGAGGGGAACTCGTGCCAGGAGAATCAGGGTATGTAAGAAAGGTAAGTACAGCAGAAGTCGGAGCATAACAGAGCAAACTGCCGCCCTTTCATAGGTGGGCTTAGCTGATACCCATTGGGCTGGGCACAGACCAAGTGTGCAGTGAGTCACCCTTCTCTCCCATGCTGCACCCTGCCTCTGCCCAGATTGCCATCAGCCTCTTGGGTCTTGCAAAAGATACTGTGTGAAACCTTAGTGGCCTCAAAGGTGCTTGGTCTGTACCAGGGGCCTAATAGATACCTGTACTGTGCTCAGAACTGTGTAGTACCCGGCTGGTAATAGGTGTGCAACAATATTTATTGAATACAAGGAGGCAGAACTGTAAGAATCCTGGCCACTGAGGAATTTTGAATCTCGTTTGGGAGGACCAGACATGGCACTGATGTAAAATAAGAAATAGCATTGGTGGTGCTTAGATGCATGCAAAGTTGAGTGCAGACCCGGGCTGCGGGAAGAGAAAGCCCGTGACGAGATAAGAACCAGTTTTCATTTCTTTGGAGAATGAGCACCGTCTCTTGTGAGCTACGAGGCCAGTCCTGAAGTGGGTCATCTCATTAGCTGACCTCGTAATGGATCTGGCAAAGGCCAGTTGAACTGTTCGCAGGTCTGAATGGCAGGGGTTGACACCGTGCCTACGGCTCGGTGTGCAGCAGCTGTCTTACCTTTCCAACCGAACGTGTGGCCTCTGATCTGCATTGCTGTCCAAATGCGTGGTTTTCTTCCCTGAGCAGTAAGCTGGGAGGGAAATCGTGCAGATGGATTTAAATCTTTCAAGTGGATTACCTTCAGAGTAGGGGAGTGAAAGGGTCAGGTTTATAAATGACTCATTCAATTATAAGGGAAGCTGCCCTGACAGGCAAGCACAAATCAAATACAGATGCTCCTCGGCTTACAGTGGGGCTGTGTCCTCATAAACCTGTCCTAGGCTGAAAATATGGCAGGTCGAAAATGCACCGAGTACAGCTGACCTGCCCAAGCTCCCAGCACAGTGTGCTAGAGGGGGCGGGTTGCTACCCCTGGCGGTGGCGGGGAGCTGCTCCCTGCTGCCACCCAGCACCTTAGTACAGCGCCGTGGGTCACTGGCCCAGGAGCAGGTCAGAATGCATAGTACAGCCCCTACTTTATACGTGTTCCCCACCATCAGAGTTGGGAAGTTTTAAGCTGAACCAGCCCAAGTCAGGAACTGTAAATAAAATCCACCGAGACAATGCCAAGTGTTCTCAACCCACCCAGCCACACCTTAAGATTCGTTCTTCTGCTTCCCCATCCCAGAAATGCCAGATAACTTTAGAATCTTGGCTTGAAAACTTCTTGATGCCGAGTCAAAAAGAATATCTTTCCTTGGAAAATAAGCATTGAGCAAGAGCTGGAACAGTAGGGCCATAGCACTCACGTGGACTGAGTTTCTAAATATAATGACTGTCTTTGACAGCTGAGTTTGAAGGGGGGGGGGGGCCTGGAATCCCTCTGCAGCACCCTGAGCTTCCCAAGGTCAAGTTCTTGGATCTGCCCTTGGTCCCAAGAGGAATCCTGAGCTACCTGGGTTTTCTTCCTGGACAGAGAGAGATGGCCCTGGGGCTCAGCTGTCCAGAGAGCCCTCACTCTGAGGAATGACGGGGAAGTCTGAGGTGTACCCTCTGTGGGGGTGGTAACTGAGCTGTCATGAGGGTCGTCTCTGTGACAGCCAGCCAGCTGTCAGTGTGTCTGACCACCGATCCATCCAGCTATTTTCCCCAGGCCCAGCAAAGCCATGTTGGCCCCCAGGGTGATTCCAATGGACTACCCTCTTAGAAACGTGACTGCCAGACCATCTTGCGACAGCCCCTGGAGTTTGAGTGGGCGGTCCCTGTGGTCTTGGGGCAAATCCATACTACATAGAAATACCAGGGCAGGCCTCTGGCTGGAGCAGCATTGCCCTGTACCCACTGGTGATGGTGGAAGGCAGAGCAGAGAGTGGTAGCTTAGGGAGGTCTTTCCCCAGCTTAAAGGCCTGCAAACAGTGCGGCCAGGGCAGGTGTCCTCGCTCGGAATGGGCTGCAGGAGGTGCTCAGCTCTCAGCCCTGTCTCCAAACCCTAAGCACACCTGTCCCCCACGGCTGCTGGCAGCCTCACCTGAACCTAAGGTCGCTAGCACTGTGGGTGACCCCAGTCAGTGCTCTGTCAGTTCTCAGCCCTGCCTGTTCAGGAACAATTACCCGAACGGTGACCGATCCACGAGTTTGCTTCTGCTGCTCATTGGGCACTCCGCACCCAAGAGCAGCCCCAGAGTGACCCACTGGCTCCGCCGGCTCCTAAGGGGAATGACTCGAGCTGCTCCCAGCTGTGGAGTTCACGGGGCTGCATTCCCTCAGCCTCTGTCGCGGGCCAGCTGTCCCAGCACCTGTCGCGGTGTCACGGAGGAAGGGGCAGCTTCTGGACGAGGCGTTCAGAGTTGCGACACAGAATGTGCAGGTGCACACCCCACCCCCAGGTGTACCTCAGCACAACTCACCCACCTCACAAGGTGTGGGCGTCCTGTGGCTGCCAATAGCCCACTGCTGCTGATTGGGTGGGTTTAAACAGTGGGAAGGCACTGAGTTCTGGAGGCCCCAGGTCAGAAACCCGGGTGTTGCCAAGGGCTCCAGGGGAGCGTCTGTTCCCTGTCTTTCTCCTCACTGCTGATGTTGCTAGTGGTCCTTGGGGTCTGTGCCATGCTGCCACCCCACTCCAGTCTCTGCCTCATGTTTACCCGGCCATCTCCCCTGTGTGTGTGTGTGTGTCTTTGAAAGAAAGCTTTTATTTGAGAGGTAGAGTTACAGAGAGAAAGGTCTTTTATTTTCTTTAAAGATTTTATTTATTTGAAAGAGTTACAGACAGAAGGAGAGACAGAGAAAGGTCTTCCGTCTGTTGGTTCACGCCTCAAATGGCCGCAACAGCCGGAGCTGCGCCAATCCAGAGCCAGGAGCTTCCTCCGGGTCTCCACACAGGTGTAGGGGGCCATCTTCCACTGCTTTCCCAGGCCATAGCAGAGAACTGGATTAGAAGTGGAACAGCTGGGACTAGAACTGGTGCCCATATGGGATGCCAGCATCGCAGGCAGAGGATTAACCTAGTGCACCACGACGCAGGCCCAGAAAGGTCTTCTATCCACTGGTGCACCCTTAAGATGGCTTCAGTGGCTGGAACTGAGCTGATCCGAAGCCAGGAGCTTCTTCCAGTTCTTCCATGTGGGTGCAGGGGCCTAAGCACTTGGGCCATCTGCTGCTGCTTTCCCAGGCCATCAGCAGAGAGCTGGATTGGAAGAGGAGCAGCCAGGACACAAACCACCACCCATATGGGATGTGGGTGCTGCAGACAGAGGCTTAGCCCACTAAGCCATTCCATCTGTGTTGTCTGGCCTTATGAGGGGACCAGGCGTATTGGATAGTTACTCACCATAATGACGTCGTCTTTAAGTTGATTGCATCCACAAACACCCTGTTTCCAAATAAGGTCATATTCATGGCATCCAGGATTGGGGCTTTGACACATTATCTTTGGGAAGGGAGGCACAGTTCAGCCCCTGATGTGTGTCTCACAATATCCCGCTGCTGGGGCCAGTGCTGTGGCATAGCAGGTGGGGCCATCTCCTGCAGTGCTGGCATCCCATATAGGCACCAGTTCAAGACCCAGCTGCTCCACTTCCGATCCAGCTCTCTGCTATGGCCTGGGAAGGCAGTAGAAGGCCCAAGTCTTTGGGCCTCTGCACCCACATGGAAGACCCGGAAGAAGCTCCTGGCTCCTGGCTTCGGATTAGTGCAGCTCTGGCCGTTGCGGCCAACTGGGGAGTGAACCAGCGGATGACGGAAGACTTCTCTCTGCCTCTGCCTCTCCTTCTCTCTGTGTGTAACTCTGACTTTCAAATAAATAAAAATCTTCAAAAAAAAAAATTTCCCTGTGTCAGTGCCTGGGAGGAGGTGGGGGCAGTGTGAGTAGAGCTGGGCGGGAGTGGGGGTGGTTTCTAGAGCACGTGTTTTGGGGCTGAGTATTGAGCGGCCTGTTGATGGGGAAGGACTTGCACGTGGGGAGAGTGGGCGGGACGAGCAGGTCTGACAGTGGTCAGCACTCACCTGTGGTCCATGCTGCCCTTTCGGTCTCCCCACCTGTGCAGGCGGAACAACCCAAGAATGACCTGGATCTGGACCAGGATGCGGATCTGGCCTACAATAGTCTGAAGGTGAGACTCCTGGGGACAGGCTCCCCGTGCTCGCCCCCGGTGGAGGACGGAGGACAAAACTGGCATCAGGGGACCCGGTCCTGAGCCCCAGCAGGCCGGTCAGAAGGGCTACCGGCAGGCAGGTTCCCCTCTCCAGCCTCCGTTTCCCCAGCTCCGCAGTGAAGGGAGATAGGTGTTTCTGCAGAGGACAGCGGTACGTGTCTACCTCCCCAGCGACAGCGACAGATGTGGCTCCTGGGGTGACATCAGCTCTCAGGAAACCACACAGAATCCGCACGGGCAGGCGTAAGGCAGATGGATCTGCCTGGCCCCAGCAGGAGACGGGCAAGGGGGCACTGTGCGGAGCCTCAGCTCCAAGGATAAACAGGCCCCGTGGCAGGGAGGAGGGCTTCGGAACGCCCCCCCCCCTTGTTCCCAAAAGACTTGGTGATATGGGAATTTATCCATCTGCGAGGCACTTATAGGGCTATACACAACTCTGGAAACAGTGCCATAGCCCAGGGAAACAGCCCTCATCACTCTCCTGGCTGTTCTCCTGCAAATATTTGTGTAGTAAAATGCACACAATGTTAATAATTTAAAAATGTATTTATTTGAAAGAGCAGTGTCTTCTGTTGGCTGTTCATTCCCCAAGTGGCCTCAACAGCCAGGTGTGAGCCATGCCGAAGCCAGCAGCTTCTTCTGGGTCTCCCATGTGGGTGGTGGGGCCCAAGCACTTGGGCCATTTTCTGCATTTCCCTTTAGCAGGGAGCTGGATCGGAAGTGGAGCTGCTGGGACATGAACCAGCACCCACAGGGGATACTGTTGTTGAAGGTGGAGGCTTTACCCACTACACCACAGCTCCAACCCCAGACTTTAATCATTTTAAGTGTGCATTTCTGTTGTGTTAAAAAACACCCATGGCATTACGCAGATAGCCATCCACCTCTGTAACTTACAGGATTATAGGATTGGCCAGGGTGCTTGCCACGGAGCTAGGCCCAGCCTCAGACCTTCAGGGGACTTGGATACCACCTGCTCATACTTCTTTACAGTGAAACTGGGCTCTGAGGCGAACCCCAGGGAGCTTGTGCTCAGTGAGCCTCGTCTGTGCCGTGCCTCCGAGGGATGGAGCATGTGAAGGAGTGGGGGGCTCCCTGCCCTCCACAGGCGTAGATCCTCCCTGAGGAGCTGAGACCCAGCTCTAGGGCGGGCGAGGAGTCCACACAGCCGGCTGCTCGGCTGTCTTCTCCAACCGGATCCACTTCCAGCTGGACTCGGAAAACCTCACAAGGGCACGGGTGGGAGGAGGCGACCATGGGAACCTGTTCCCAAGCATGGCTTATCTCAGCCCTACCCCTGCTGTATAAACATTCCCCCGACCCTTCTGTAACCCACGTGGGCGCCCCAGCTCCCTGCAGAGGAGCCATGTTTGGGTGTCTCGCACAAGCTTGAGTGTGCCTTCTGCTGGGGGTCGGGGAAGGGCCCCTGGGGCCAGCACCGCCTGGCACGGCGGTCTCCCAGGAGGCCTGAGGCAGCTGGCAGGGCTGCCCGGTGGGGTGTGCTCGTCAGCTGTCAGCCTAGGCTGGGAGGCGAGATGCTGGGGGCAGTGAGTGATGGAGGTGGTTGGAACCCAGGGGCGGGCTCAGGGCAGGGAGGGGAGAAGCTGCTTGCCTCCCTCCCGTGTCCAGCACGGTCTCAGGCCAGGCCAGGGAGCCAACAGGAGCCGAGACTGCCACCAGCCCAGAAGACCACCGTGCGCAAAACAGGCTTGCTCAGGGCCGCAACAGCCTTGGGCTTCCCTTCCCGACCTGCTGCCGGCTGTAGCCAAGGGAGGGACAGGGCAGCATGGTCCGTGTGGCCCTTACGTGCTTTTCACGTTGCCTGACGTCCAGACGTGGGCTTGTCTGACACTGGGTGTGAACCAGAGAAGCCGCCTCTGAGGACGTCCTCCCAGTGATTCTTGGGTGTTTCCTTATTATGCCATTTTTTACAGAAGCTTTTCGTTTTATTTATATGGTTTATGGAAGTAGTTCTCTTTATCTTAGAAAAACTTAAAAGTTCAAGAAAATTTTTTTTTTTAATTTTTTGACAGGCAGAGTGGACAGTGAGAGAAACAGAGAGAAAGGTCTTCCTTTGCCGTTGGTTCACCCTCCAATGGCCACCGCGCTGATCTGATGGCAGGAGCCAGGTACTTCTCCTGGTCTCCCATGGGGCGCAGGGCCCAAGCACTTGGGCCATCCTCCACTGCACTCCCTGGCCACAGCAGAGAGCTGGCTTGGAAGAGGGGCAACCGGGACAGAATCCGGCGCCCCGACCGGGACTAGAACCCGGTGTGCCGGTGCCGCAAGGCGGAGGATTAGCCTAGTGAGCCGCAGTGCCGGCCAAGAATTTTTTTAAAATAATTTTTTGAAATGTGTAAAAGGTTTTTTAAAAAACCACTTAAAGACAATCTGATATTTGAGTGTTTCTCCCCAATGCCTTTTCTGTGCATATTATTTATATAACACATATCCACATATGTTCTACCTGACAACCCTTGTCCGCATCATGCTTTTGTGACGTGATCATGACAGCTTTCGTGACCAGCCTCTAAGTGCTGAACACGCTCGTTTGTGTTCCTCCTATCAATGCTGCTGTGATGGAACCTGGAGAGACAGATGCTGGGTCACCCCCCAGTATCCCACTACAGTTCTGTGGGGTCTGAAGGAGGTCACTGTGTGGCTCGCTGTTGCTTGTGGCCCTGAGCCGGTCCTGCAGCTCCCGCTCGCTCTGTGAAGCGAGTCAGTCTCACTGGTTCACATTTGCAGGGTCAGGACCTTAGGCCAGTGTAGACAGAGTTCAGGGTGGCACAGCCTCCAGCAGGAACCCTCAGCCCCTGAGACCGTGTCTCCGTCATCACGGGCGCCTTTGTGTGTGTGCTCCAGGGATGTATCCAAGTTACAACAGACCACGCTCCCCCCATAAGTAAGTACAGTTATCGCCTTAATCCAGAAACCTGGAAGACCCTTGGGAAGGTAAAAAACATACACATTTTGATAAAGATTTTATTTATTTATTTGAGAAGCAGAGGTAGAGAGGGAGAGACAGAAAGATCTTCCATCTGCTGGTTCATCCCCCAAAATGGCCACTACGACCAGAGTTGGGCCGATCCAGAGCCAGGAGCTTCATCCAGGGTCTCCCATGCAGGTGCAGGGGCCCAAGCACTTGGACCATCTTCCGCTGCTTTCCCAGGCAATCAGCAGGGAGCTGGATCGGAAGAGGAGCAGCTAGGACAAGAACCTGGGCCCATATGGGCTGCTGGTGTCACAGGCGGAATCTTCACCTACTACTCCACAGTGCTGGCCCCCACATAGATCTTTTTAAAAAGATAGTTACCTGTCCTGCCTACCTTGAGGTGCAGCTGTCTGTCCCACGTGGGTCTATTCTGGCCACTTGATGAGAAGTCCTGGGTGTGGGGTGCACAGCAGCCCAGCTGTTGCTCGTTGGCACTCTGCACACTCTGAGTGACATCGGCCTGACCCCACTCACCAACAGCATCCTTGATGTGTCCCTATCCCATCTCTGTCCAGGGTCCTAGACTCGTAACTGTAGCATGGGGCCACACTGAACTCCAGAGCAGGGTTTCCTGTCCGAGAAAGCCACCAGGTGCCAGGGCGAGGGACCTCCAGGTACAGGGCTGCTCTGCCGTGTGACGCTGGCTCTGCTGAAGGTGGTGCTCGGCTACCCTAGGAAGTCACCTGGGCACGAGTGGATCCGGAACTGCTGATGCAGCATTCCTGCAAACAAGGGCCTCACGGCCCCGCGTGCATGGGAGCGCTAGCGCTAGGGAATCCTTCAGGGAGCGCAGCTGGGGCGGCAGCGCCAGAGATGCTTCCCCCGTGACCTGGGGTCCTGGGTTCAAGTCCCGGCCCCGGCTCTGCCTGCCAGTGCCAGCCGGAACTTCTGCCGTGTATCATCACTCAACGGGAAAAAGGTTGCTCGTAGCTTCCCCAGCAGCTGGGGGCAGGGTGGGTGAGGAAGGGGAGGCGGCAGTGGCCCACCTGGGGACAGCCCCCTGGATGCAGGGAGTGACGCGTGTGGCCCTGCGCTGTCTTCCAGAGGCAGGAGCTGGAGTCGGAGAACAAGAGGCTGAAGAACGACCTGAACGAGCTGAGGAAAGCCGTGGCCGACCACGCCACGCAGGACAACGCCACGCACAGCTCCCCAGACGGCTACAGCCTCCTGCTGAACCAGCTCAGGCTGGCCAACGAGGAGCTGGAGGTGCGCAAGGAGGAGGTGCTCATCCTCCGGACACAGATCGTGAGCGCCGACCAGCGCCGGCTCGCTGGCAAGAACGCGGTGAGGAGGCACAGCGGTGGTGGCACTGGGGGCCGGCTTCGTGTTTGGCTCACATGTGTCTGCCCGTGAGAGGCTTTGCCCTAACAACACAGACTCTTGTTCCAGAGTCTCCTGTAAAGGCTCAGCAAGGGACAGGCTGCTTCCCCAGTGTGGCTGTTCCTGGGGACGGTGCCAGAAGTTTCTAGAACCTTCTGAGGTTAATTTGAAGGTGCCCAAAAGGAACCAGGCACAGAATGAGATAGGGGTGGCCTTGTTTACTTCAGGGGCTCCTTGCTGTTTCCTTTGTTTATGAAGTAGGGTGGGAGAGGCGTTCAGCTCTCTCAGCCCTCCTGGGACAGATCATGGAGTGAGAGGGAGGGGACAGGCCACCAAGGTCAGACTGGGCTGCCAAGGGCATGGAGGAGTTCAGTTGTGCATCCTGTCCCGTGCACCTGGGGCGTGTCTTCCTCCCAGGGGAACCGCCCCTGCCATCTTGGACCCCACCTCCCCCCACCATGCACACACCCCGCTCTGCTCAGCCTCTCGCTCCCAGGCCTTTAGGAAGGGGCCTTCTCACGTCCCTCCCTACCTGGGCTCTTCCAGGCCTTTGTCTCTTCCAAAGCCTCTGTGTCTGAAGCGTGGTGTGGCCGTTGTTTGCACAACCAGAGTTGCTTACTATTCTCCATCTGGGGCCTTCCAGGAGCCCAACATTAACGCCAGGACAAGCTGGCCTAACAGTGAGAAGCACGTGGACCAGGAAGACGCCATTGAGGCCTATCACGGGGTCTGCCAGACAAACAGGTAAGGCCCGCCTCTCCCTGGATGCTGCCTGGAGGAGGTGGCAGGTGAGGGGCCCTGCCCAGCCTACTCTGCTAAGGCCTGATCGGAGGCACTTGCCCCGCACCCAGCCTTGGGGTTGTGTGTTAGGAGCGGATGCCTGCCAGTAGTTTTGGGAAGGCTGGGTGGTACCTGGAGCATCTGGAAGCCACACCCCCTGGGAAGGACTAGGAAAGGGAGCATCCGGGGGGAGGGGTGTCGAGCAGAGGCTCGGAAAGACTGGCCAGGAACGGTGTTTCGCAGAGAGAGGAAGCTGGCCCGGGGAAGCCCGAGAAACTGGGGGGGCCTGCTCCAGACACCTGCTATGGAGCCACCTGTGCCACACCATGGTGGCCACCATACTGTGGGGCCATCCCTGTCCCTCACAACAGATGGAGCCAGGCCAGGCACCGCCAAGGCCAAACGGGAGCTTCTCACCTTGAAGACACTGCTGAGTGGCATTTCCTGGGTTTCCCCTCAACCATCTACTTCCGGTGCCTCTTCAGGGGGTGGCTGAGGGTCAAGGGTCGAGGGAAGGAGGGAGAGAGGCCGCAGGGCAGAGTGGAGACTTGCTGGGAGCGTGGACTCAGCCTGCCTGCCCACTGGCTGGGAGCCACCGCCTGACTGCTCCGTGCCTCGGCCTCATCTGCGTTTTGGGGCAGTCATAGCAGGGCACCTCCCGTGACGACTGGGACGATTAGGTTAGCCCTGGCTGAAGCCCTCCGGACAGTGGCAGCACGCGGCAGGCAGCACGCAGGCAGTGAGCGTCAGGGTTGTCATGGCCGTGGCGCTCTTGGCTGCCTCCTGCCCCCATTGGGCACCTGTAACCACAGAGCCCCCTTTCTCCCTGCCTCAGCTGAGCGCTGAGCAGTCGGCAAACATGGGTTCAGAATCGCTGAAAACAGAAAATAACAGTAGGGGGCGCTGTGAGTGCGTGCTTAGCTTTTAGCAAGCATGCCCCAGAATCTCCGGTTCCCAGGACTTCTGATCCACTTTCTGTAGAGAGGACACTGGTGCCCCAGCGGGTGGGGCTCAGACACCCCGCTGGGCCTGTTTCTGAGTCCAGGGAGAGCCAGAGAGGCCTGGCCCAGGTGGCTGCAGCCCCTGTGCGGGTAATCAGAAGGTGGGGCAGGAAGCAGAGTGTATTTCAAGAAGAGGTCATTCTTCCCCCTTAAAGGAGGGGGAGAAAGGAGGACGGTGACTCTCAGCTGAAACTGCAGTCAAGATTCACTGCGTTTCAATCAGCTGGGGTTGAAGAGAAGTGAGCTGAGTAACAGAAGATGGCACAGGTGATAATCCAGTGAGGAGAGAGAAGTAGCCCCCGCCCCCTTGCTGCTGCGGGCGGTGCTCATCTCTCTGATCTGCAGAACTGGCTCCCTTTTCATTCCTCTCCCCCACCCCCACCGGTAAAGGAGCCAGTCCCCAGCCTCGATTTTCCCAGGGGCTGCTTAATCATTGGATTTGTCTTGCTTTATGGCAGTAATGATGAGCGATAAAATAAAAATATATTTTATTCTAAAATAATTCCAGTCCCTGCAAACCCAGCGTACAATGGGAAACTAATGGCCTGTGGTCCTGAGTTAAGAACAGGCGAGAGCAGTGGACTGGGGCGGGGAGGCCTGCCCCACCAGGTGGCACAGAAGTGAGCGTGGGGGTTGGGGTCTCCCCGCGGGCAGCTGCCTCAGCCTTGTGGAAATGTTAGGAGTGTAGCAGCTGTCCCATCCTTGTCATTTCGCAGGACGGGGCTGCCCGAGCCATGGGGACTTTGAGAGGGAGGGGCCCTGCCTTTCCTCAGGTTCCCAGAATGATATAAGTTTATTTGGGTGCAAAACACCTGAAATCCAGAGCTGGCGCTGTGGCATACTAAGTTAAGCTGCTGCCTTCAATGCCAGCATCCCACGTGGGCACTGGTTCGAGTCCTGACTGCTCTGATCCAGCTTCTTGCTGATGACCTGGGAAGGTAGCAGAAGGTAGCCCAAGCACTTGAGCCCCTGCACCCCTATGGGAGACCCAGATGGAGTTCCAGGCTCCTGGCTCTGCCTGACCATTGGAGCCATTTGAGGGGTGAACCAGTATATGGAAGAGCGATCCCTCACCCCCTCTCCCTGTCTCCCCCTCCTTCCCTCCCTCCCTCGCCTCTAAAATAGATAAACACACACACAAATCCAAGTGTGGTTCATAATATGCGTTTTCCATGGACTTTGAGCAGACTCCGTGTGAGGTTTGTGGGAGGAGCTTGGAACCCTTTAGAATTTTGCTGAACTCCCCCCTTCCTAGAAGGATGCAGTTTCTGGGGTGGTCCCCAATGACCCCCAGCCCTCACCCAGCCACAGCCCGTCCGTCCAAACACCCACTGTGGCTGTCGGTGGTCACACAGCTGCGTGGGCTGGCCGGGAGCCTCGCGGGCTTCCATGGGTCCTGGTGTTGGAAGTGGCGCCTCCACCATCCCAGGGACCACCTGACTGCTGCCCAGAAAACCCAGGGGCAGGGCAAGGAAGTGACACCCGGGGCGCACACAGGACTGGACAAGAGACTCCTCAGGGCGGCCAGGCCCGACACAGGCAGAGCCCCAGCCACTTTCAAGATCTCCCTAGAGGGAAGGCGGTCTGGGTGCCACCTTTGCAGTTAGCAGTTAGTTTAGATCCAGGGCTGCCTTTGTATTTTTACTTTGCCTGGAGTGGAGGAGCCAGGGCTTCCTACAGACAGAGCGGGAGCCCCTCTGGGATGTCTGGCAGCTTCTCACAGCTGTGCCTGTGGCTTCCCGTGCTTTATGGGGGGGGTGTGGCCTGTGTACTGGGGGCTCTCCATGGATGCATGCTGATTTCTTTGTTGGTATCAAGCCCTTCAATTTTTAAGAAATTGAACTCCTGGGAGCTATTTGGATTTCTCCTCCTCTCACCAGCAGATGGCGCCCCTGGAGCCCTGGATGGGCGGGGCAGGGAGATTCTCCTGGGGTTTGGTTCCTTTTCATCTGGGCACACTGGTTTCTCATTCACTCGGGTGCCCAGGCTGCGCGGGACTCTCACTTTTGCCTTTGTCCGGGATGCCCGGCGTGTTACAGAATTCAGAACTCGGATCATTCCCTGACGAGGCTAGTGGTGACTTGGCCTCGTTGTGTATCTCAGTGTCACCTGTGTGCCACCCGGCAGCCCCTGGGGTCTGGAGACTCAGATCTGGGGGCTCACAAGGCCCTAGCCCAGGTACCAGTGGCTGTCCCCTGTGACAAGGGGGACGGCTGGAGTACAGGGACCCGAGTTCAGCTCTGGTGGTCCTCGCTGTGGGTCCCCCAAGGACTCCTGCAGCTGCGTTCCTCATGTGGCCACCTGAGAAGGGACAGTGCTGAGCTCCCAGCCCCAGGTCACTTTGTGGTTTGCTGGGACACAGGGAACACGGGCCAGTGGAGTGCAGCCATGGTGGGGACTACAGAGTCCACTACAAAAGCTGGATGTGCAGAGGCCCAGCCTGGGTGCGGGGAACCCAGGGCACAGAAGCTCGTTGGCAGTAGTCTCGCCGTGGCCTGGCTGGAAGACCAAGCAGTGTGGGGAGCACCCAGCGGCCAGAGCCCATGCATCACCCTCAGGAGTGTGCTCCCCCCACCAGACCCCAGGATGGGACGCCTTGTGCCGAGGGAGCAACAAGTGGGGTCTGCGAGCCTCCCTCAGGAGGCTGAGCTGGGGGTGGGGAGATGAGATGGGCAGTTGTTTCACTCCCTGGACCTCACACACAACCTGGCAGGGCAGTGCAGGGGCTGGCCTAGGCCACAAACACTCCTGGGGACAGTAGCTGGACCCCTGGAGTTGGGAAGGCTTGGAGGGGTGCTAACAGTTTTATCGGGCTATGCTTCCTGCTGCCTACTGGGGAACCTGGGATCTGGCCAGCAGGAGGTGCCCCTGCCTGCTGCTGTCACTAAGAGCCATGGGTGGGACAGAACCCTGCCTGCCTGCCTGCCACCACCCAGTCCCACTGGCCTTGAGGCTCTCTGCATGCCCGGGACTGCATGAGGTGGGAGTACATGGCCAGAACCTGCCATGGTCAACACATGCTCGCCCTCCAGGGGCTCCTTGCTGGCATCAGCAGCCACTGGGCCATGTGGGGATGGCAGCAGTTTGCAGATAGAAGGTGGCACATCCTGCCTTCCCAAGGTCAAAGGGAGAAGTTCAGTTCTCATCTTCTGCGTCACCAAGTTTGTAGTAGCTGTTGCTTTATACAGGGCTCTATAACAAGAGCTGGAGTTAAGGGTAGTTGATACTTCTGTGTCCTTAAGGAGAGACGCGTCCAGGCTGAGCCCAGTGGTGGCGAGATGCTGCACCTGCTACTCTGCCAGGTGCAGTGAGTGCCTGCTCCTTGCCTGAAGCTTCTCCCAGGAGGGGTCCACTCCCCCCTGTTGGTTTCTGAGTCCCTGTGATGGAGGGAAGCAGGGCAGGGGAGTGAGGGCACGGCAGGGCTCCCGCTCAACCCGTGCTGCCACACCACTGCTGTTTGTGGAGCTGTAGCCCCGGATCTCCTTGGCAACCCATGTGCCTGCCTGTGATTGCCCCACAAGAGACCACAGGCGCCCACGTCCAGGGCAGGGCGGAGACCTGGGAGGAGAGATGCTGTTGACAGGCACCCAGCGAGCAGGTGCACAGCCGCAGAGGGGACAGGAGGGTCCCGAAGCCTTTCCTGGTTTTGAGTTCCAGGCCTCGGCTAGGATCGCCTCACCTCGCTGGGCTTTCTGCTGCCTCTTTCCTCCGCACTCGGACACCCTGTTTTTCTGCCTTTATTTCTAGCAAGACTGAGGATTGGGGATATTTGAATGAAGATGGAGAACTCGGCCTGGCCTACCAAGGCCTAAAGCAAGTCGCCAGGTCAAATGCATTCCTTCCTTCCTGTGTCTGCTTTGTCTGTGTGCTGTTCATGTCTATGGCCAGTTGTGTCTTGGCTACACTGAGTGCAGGGGCACGGGGCGCAGCTCACAAGAGGTGCTGGCTGGTGGGCCCTGGCGTCACCCACCTGTCACTTTGTGTCCAGATGAGGTCAAGGGAGACTGCTTGTTTGGGTCAAGGTGACACTTGAGAAACCAGGCAATCCAGGCTCTCATTCCATAGGTGAGAAAGCAGACAAGAGGGGAGTTTTGTGACAACAGGCACGCAGCTAGTTGGAACCAGGCTGAGAAGCTGCCTCCCTCTGGGGGCTCTTGGCTCTCTGCAGCTCCCACGCCCACCTATCAACTCTCCTGACTCTGCAGGATGAGCCAGAAGCATCAGCCCATTCTGTGCTGCTGGTTGTGCGCCAACCTTCAGGCTCCTGGGAACCTCCCCGGCAGCACGTGGGCTGGGGCTGGTCTCAGGTGCTCCCGGGAGCTGACAACAACCAAATGCAGTGCTCACCCCGTGGCGTCTCGCACTCACGCAGCATGTTCATGGGGAGGGAACCTCGGAGGGCTTAAGGAACTTGGTGCTGAGGTGGAAGAGAGCTGGCACCTGGTGCCAGGATCTGAGCCTGGTGACTCGCGGGCCTGTGGTGCTGGGTGAGCAGGTCAGCTAGGGGAGGTAGGCCTGCACAGGAAGAGCAGCACGGTGGCCTGACCTATGCTGATTGCCAGCCGGTGGCTTCCAGGGGGTGTGGTCTAGCTTTGCTCATTTGACCCTCCCAACAAGGGAGGGTGCCAAGGTCACAAGAGTAGACTCAGGCTCAGAGAGACGGCCCCAGCACTAAGCCCGGCTCCCTCCTGCCGCTGGGGGGCGGAGCTGGAACAGGAGCCTGCAGCCCTCAGGCTTCCATCTCTGCCTCTCCTGTGACCCTCCCTGCGGCCCCCTGATGGTGTCACCGAGGTCCCTGTGCAGCAACATAAGTGGGTCGTCTTGGCAAAGTCAAGGACAGCTGATTCACACAGTAGTGAGTCCCCTGGCTTTGCAGCTTCTCTGTTCAAACACAACCCCCGCCCCCCCCACGACTACCCAAGGCACGAGCTAGGTCTTGGTTTCCTCCTCTGTAGATGGTGGATGGGAACGAAGCCTTCCTTACAGGGTTGTTTTAGAAATGAGGTTAAGGTTGCAGTGAGTGAAGCTGCCAGCTGCAGTGCCAGCATCCTATATGGGCGCTGGTTTGGATCCCAGCTGCCCCACTTCTGATCCATCTCTCTGCTTATGGCTTGGGAAAGCAGCGGAAGATGGCCCAAGTGCTTGGGCCTCTGCACCCAAATGGGAGACTCCTGGCTTCAGCCTGGCCCTGCTCTGAGCGTTGTAGCCACTTGGGGAGTGAACCAGCGGGTGAAAGATCTCTGTCTCTCCCTCTCTCTGTAACCCTGCCTTTCAAATAAAATTTTAAAAATGTTAATAAAGGTAAAGTACTTTGCACCTGCCAGGCATATAGTAAGCATAGAATAAATATTAGCTGCTACTTCTATTACTGTCATGATTATTCGCTAAGACCAGCTTCCTGCTCCACCCAGAGTTTTATTGGAGAAGGGACCTGGGTGTGAGATTCCTGGTGCCTCCCCTATCAGATTGGGTGCTGAGTAAGCAGAGGAGACGCACAGACCTACACAGCCAGGTGCCCGGCTGTAGAACCAGTCCTGCCACTTACTGAGCCTCTCACCTCTCGCCTGGTGAACTGGCCTGCCCGGTGCCTGGGTGGGAACCTTGCACCTTGTCCACATCACTGGGCTGAGTCACCCACAGTCCCCCTGAGACTGAGACAGCTCCAAGTGAACTTGTGGCGTTGATAGGAGACGCGTCCTTCAGGCAGCAGGCCTTGAGCCCATGTGTTGCTGGTGTTTCTCGCTGAATTCATAGCTTGTTGGTGACCACTTTTAGCACAGTATAGCCAACGGGGAATGACATCTAAGCACTGTGTGGCATCTGCAATGTGGATTTCATTGCCTAATTATTCCCCCACAATCCTTATGTAAAAAGTGACTGCTCCCATCAACAGTGGGGGCTCTTGCTCTCCCACCCTCCTTGACAGGCTCCCTCCCAAACCAGCAGAACTGCAAAACCACGGTGCCTGCCCACCTGTTGGCCTCTGAGGCAGCCCAGGGCTCACCAGCGGTCCCTGGGCACTGCCTGCTGCCCAGCTGTGCCCAGCTCAGGGCATGACCTTTATCTGCATCTCAGGAAGAGATGAGTCAATGTTTGCCCATGTAGGCCTCGTCATCCAGTGCCCCTACCTCTCCTACTATGGAGCGTGGAGCATCAGGAGGCAGCCCCCTCATAGATGTGTTAGGGTTGAACCTCCTGGAGAAGAGATGGCTCCGGGGCCTTGGCTAAGTCCTCACCTTCCACCGTGAAGGGAGCAAGTGTCTTCCAGAATTGCCCCGTAACGGGCTGCCCGCTGGCCCTGGGCCTTCGGGAACTCTGCCCTCAGAGACTCGTGGCCAGCCCATTCTAGAACTTCTCCAGGCGTCTCTGCTGCTTGTCACGACACCAGGCGATCTTAGCCCTCCCCACTCATCATCTCCAAGCAGCCTTCATTTGTGTTTGGGGCCAGGGGAGGGGTATGAGAGTGGGAACAGTTGTGGTGAAAACAAAAGAACAAGGCTGATACTTCGCCTTTCTAAAGCCCACATGGAATCTACGATAGGAAAACGTGAAAGAATTAGCTCAATCAGTTTTGTGTTAACCAAGTTTCTTGTGAACATTGGAGCTGGTGTGGATTTTTTTTTAAGAGATACTGTAAGAAATTTATTTTTGCTGATGACGTCTTGATAGAAATCGTCTCAATCCCAGACCAACAGACCGTGCGTGCAGAATAACAGACGGGGCCGAGAGAAATGGCTCAGAGCAGAGGTGCTCTGGCCTTGCTGTCCCCTCCCGCCTGCCCTGCTGGCCTGACGACCCCCTCGGCATCTGCTCCCTGCTGCGTCTGCCCCCTGTTGAGGACCTGCATCCGCTCCTGCTGTGTGCTCCACAGCCCCTGTCCTGTTTCTGCCCATGGCCCCCCTCTCAGGGACACCGCCTGGGCCACGCAGTCACCTGTCCTCTGCCCGGTGCAGGTTGCTGGAGGCGCAGCTGCAGGCCCAGAGCCTGGAGCACGAGGCGGCGGTGGAGCAGCTGCAGGCCCAGGTAGAAGCCCTGAAGGAGGAGCTGGACCGGCAGCAGCAGACCTTCTCCCAGACGCTGCTGCTCTCCCCAGAGGCCCAGGTGGAATTCGGCGTCCAACAGGAGATGTCCCGGCTGACCAACGAGAACCTGGTGAGCAGCCGTGCTGGCGGATTCCCGGCTCTGCAGAGTCCTGGATGGAAACCGGGGTCAGGGTGGCCTGCATCCGAATGGGCGGGCAGGGTGTGCGTCCTTAACCCTGCGATAAGAGATTCTAGAACTCTCCAGTCTGCTACTGGTAGAGAACTGGAAGTCCCATCTTCATGGAGCTGAGTCGCTTAAAACTAATGGCTTGAGATAGCAGCCGCCATGTGGGTTAGGAATTCATGCCCAACGGGCACAGCTCGTGTTTGCTGTATGTGGCGTTGGCTGGGGCTGGGACAGCCGAGAGAGCCTCACTCTCATGTCTTGGTTCTCGTGGGCTCTGTCTCATTCCACGTGCTCTCCTGTGGTCCACGGCCTCAGCGTAGGCTGCTTGACATGCAGCAGGCGGCTAAGAGAACGCAAGCTGGAGGCGCGAGGCCATCCGAGGCCCAGTTCCAGAACCAGCAGTGCTGTTTACTGTTAAGACCCATCATGGCCAGCACTGCGGCTCAATAGGCTAATCCTCTGTCTGCAGCGCTGGCACCCTGGGTTCTAGTCCCGGCTGGGGCGCCGCATTCTGTCCTGGTTGCTCCTCTTCCAGGTCAGCTCTCTGCTGTGGCCAGGGAGTGCAGTGGAGGATGGCCCAGGTCCTTGGGCCCTGCACCTGCATGGGAGACCAGGAGAGGCACCTGGCTCCTGGCTTCGGATCAGCAGCGCAGCAGCCATTGGGGGGTGAACCAGAGGAAAAGAAAGACCTTTTTCTCTGTCTCACTCTCTCACTGTCCACTCTGCCTGTCAAAAAAAAAAAAAAAAATCATACAACTAAGCCGATGCAGTGGGGAATGATGGGAGGAGGAACGAGAGGCTCTCTTGTGGCCGGCTGCACAGGCAGCCACCAGAGGACCCCTAGCAGGTGCTGGAGAGATGGGAGCCTCCATCCTCGGAGGGCTCACAGGACAGCAGGGGAAGTGAGGCACATGGAAGGAGCAGCGATCATTGTTCTAGAAACGTGATTCTACAAGAATTCAGGGGAGGCTCTTGGGAGGAAGTGAGGCGAGAAGGGGGTGTAGCCGTGGAGACTGGCAGAGAGGAGGAAGGGGGAGCAGTCCCTGGACGAGGACACTTGCACAGGAGCCTGGGCAGGAGAGAGCCAGTTGCCTTCTGAAGAGGGTGTGCCCACGGCAGGGAGCGGCAGCAGGTGCCCCCAGACCGCACCAGTGATGCGACCAGTCCAGGAACCCATTCGGCAGTGCCATTTCCCCTTTTAACCAGGGGATCCATGGTTGGGTGGTTGGCTCCCTGGATCCCAAGAGAGCTGGGGCTCTGGACCAACCACTGCCCCCCCCCCCGAACAAGACTTGTGTGCTCATGGGCTTTCTTCCTTCTCCCTGTGTGTGTGTCACTGTCACACACACATGTACCTACACGGGTGGCTTTATGGAAGAAGCACGCGTTGTTGAGCCAGTTCTGCCAGGTCGGGGCGGCAGCCTGGGGAATGCACTTGCTGGCCCTTGCTCCCTGGGGGCTGTTGACCACGTAGCATGGCAGGCGACCACCTTGCAGAGAGGCCTGGCTGCTGTTGGAGGTACAGTGCTAGGTCATGGGGATAGCCCAGGAGGAGAGTGGGCGGTCCCGCCTTGAGAAACCATCCAGGGGAGAGCAGGACAGCACCGCGAGCCCCTTGGCCAGAGCGGTGGCCTGGACTGCCGGGAGGTGAGGGAGGGTGAGCCTGAGGAGGGCCCAGCCTGCAGCCTGGCAGGAGGGCACTGCCCGCGTGCAGCGCCGTCCACCTCACTCAGGCCAAGGCCGAGACCTGCAAACAGAGCAGTCAGGAACTCGTGTTCCCCTGCTCAGCAAGGGTTCCTGCCTCCCAGGTGCCGCTGGGCACACAGGTGATCACCGCTGTGTGCCAGGAGGCTCTCAGGCCATGAGCAGGAAGCCGTGGGAAATGGTCCCAGGCCAGAGGCACCGGGGAGCCACTGACACACTCAGAGGGAGGGTGTGGCCGTGTGCCCCGGCGGCGACTTGAGAGGGTCCAGATGTCTGTCTTGAGCCAAGCTCGCTCTCCTGTGGCTGTGCCCTCTGTGACTTTGGGCCCCCGTGGTCTCCTTGTCCTCGATCTGCCAATTTTACACTTCCAAGATTTCCAGGTGGTTCGTGTATCACCACAAGTTTGGGGGCAAAGCTTTATATAGTTCCCCTTAGCGTGTCAAGGGATGTCGTCTTCTGGAATTTGGGAGGGGGTTGGCCTGAAGAGCTGGCAGACACACGTGAAGCCCTCCCCCGTAGAGAGCCACCAGAGTACCCTGTGCTGAGTGGTTCGGGTGCGGTGTCGCACTGGCCAGCTGAGCTGCCGGGGCTCCTGAACACAGTGCAGTGGCCAGCGCCTGGCTACCGGGCTCGTGTGTCCGGGCTGGAGCAGCCGGGCTTCAGTTGGCTGTAGGTAGCCAGCGTCTGCCCCCTCAGGGTCTAGTGGAAGTTCTCAGGACAGGGTGGGAAAGACACAGGTGTGGTTTTGTCTTCTGGGTGTGGTGGTGGCGCCCAGGGCAGCTTGGGGACTGGCTGGCAGTCACAGTGCCGCGGCCTGGGTTCCTCGTTCACTGGGGCAGCCAAGTCATTTGCCCGCAAGCGTCGGTTCATCGCTTGTCACAGCTGAGGATTCAGTGCAGTTGGCTAGGGAAAGGGTCCTGTGGCAGAGAGGGGGAGGGGTGGCCCGCAGGTGCCGCGGGACACGCGTGCACTGTGACGCAGCTCAGGAGAAGCAGAGTCGCGGCAGGGGACCCGGCCAGGGCAGAGCCCACTCGGAGCCCCACTGTGGGTTCACTCCGCGCCACAGCACCAGGCAGCCAGGCTGGCACTTCCGGTGCCTCTCAGTTGGAGGGTTTTGACTTGTGTTTTGAGATGAGTAGACCCTAACAGCTCTCCTTAGACTCGGTCTGCAGTAGCCGCAGTGCCTGCTCACGGCTGCAGCCCAGCCCTAACGACTGTCACTCAAGGCGTTTTCTAGGCTCTGAGATAGACGGCCACCCCCTGTGACCTCCCTGTCACTCTGTGTCACCCTGGCTCTCAGGATGACAGCAGGGGCTGCTGTCCCCTCTTCCTGCCCCCCCCCCAACGTCCACGGGAGGCGACTGGGACAAGGTGGCATTCATGACAACAAAACCCTCTTCCCCAAGGCTTCCTGTTCTGGTCCCAGTGGACTGGTTGGCACCCAGTGGCAACAGTTGCTAGGGACTGAGCAGTGACAGGAAGGCCAAGGCCACGGTCCTGCTTTTCTGCTGGGCCCCAGGTGATCTCGCTGACCCTTCCCGTGAGGGCTCCCTGCCCCTGCGTTCCCACCCATTCCGTCCAGGGCACTGCCCACACGTCCCAGGATGCCAGGCTGTCTCCTGGGGGGTTGGCATGGCAACCCCACGAGGCTTGGCTGGGAGAGCCCTGGGGTGCCAGAGAGCCGGGGCCTGGGGGAGTTTGCCCTCCTGCTGTGGCAATGACCGCTTCTGACTCATCCTCTGCTTCCTGGGCACCACGCAGGGGCAGCACCGTCCCAGCCAGGTCTCTGAGCCAGTGTTTGCGGGACGGCAGCTGCAGGCCACACCCCGCCACCCGGGGCCAGGCTCAGCTCCCTTCCCACTCTGCTTCCTTCTGCTTTTCAGGACTTTAAAGAACTGGTAGAAAAACTGGAGAAGAATGAGAGGAAGCTCAAAAAGCAACTGAAGATTTACATGAAGAAAGTCCAGGACCTAGAAGGTAGCGCGCGGCGGGGTGGGGGGGGGTGGGGGCAGCGAAGGTGTGCCCGGCCACACCTGCGACACTCGCTTCCCACTGGGTTGATTTCCTGGTGGCTGGGCCTGGGTTGGCCACACGGTAGAGCTCAGACCCCACGAGCCCCACGTCCCCAGTCAGCCAAACGTGGAAGGAAGACACTGAAAGTTGGGAGGGGGGCAATTGGGTGCTTCCTTTGAGCCTGGCTGTGCGGGCTTGGAGGATGTGGGGGCCGAGAAAGCAACCTGGTGCTCCCTGCCCGCAAAGGGCTTGAGGTTGGGAGGTCACGGAGACCTAGGCCCCGGGAGAGCCCCTTGGTGGCCACCTCTGCTCCTCCAGGCACTGGTGCCTGGTACATCCCACCCACCCATCCCCCCCAACCCTCCACGGCGTCCTCCCAGCTCTAACACAAAGTCTCCTGTCCAGCAGCCTTCAGCACCCACAGTGCACACGGCCGACGTGGCACCTGGCCCATGCTTGGGGTAAAGTGTGCCTGTGTGTGAGCGCTCAGATGCGTCTCCTTAGCTAGATGGTCCAGGGACGAGGGTGGGTACTGAGAATCTGGGTGCCCACCCTCCTCCCCCAGCTTCTCGGGCTGAGGGAAGGCCTGGGTGGGGATGGATCCCACCCACACCACGGAGACCCCCCCCCCCCGGAGAACGGCCTTCGCTACAGACAGGGACTGCACCTAACGCGTTCCCCTGCCTGACCTAGGCGTGGGTGCCAGGCACAGCGCCTTCCTGCACTGATACAGCCCTGCTCCACCCCTACAGGCCATAGGTGGTGCCTTGGCCTTGAACCCCTGGGACTGCACAGCGTGCTGCCCTGGTGGCACCCCTGTGGCCTGGCCACAGCCTCGCACGTCCTCCCAGAAACCACTGCCTGGTGACACTGCTCTGCCTCCTGGCTGCCGCATGTCCCGCTGCCTTTCCAAGTGTCTCCCTGCCCCCTGTGCGGCGTGGCCCCAATGCCAGAGGCTGGGGCTCCTCTGCAGCCACTCGGGGCGTGGTTCAGGGGACATCTCAGAGTGTGGCGCTCAGAGAGAACGCAGCGTCCATTTCCAGACCTGGGTCCAGTCGTCTCCCCGCGCGAGACGTCCTGTCCCCGCCCCAGGCCCTCACGTGTCCTGTCTGATTCCCCCCGCTCAGCTGCCCAGGCGTTGGCCCAGAGCGACAGGCGGCGCCATGAGCTCACCAGGCAGGTGACGGTGCAGCGGAAGGAGAAGGACTTCCAGGGCATGCTGGAGTACCACAAGGAGGACGAGGCCGCCCTCATTCGGAACCTGGTGACAGGTCAGGACCCCCGGGCGCCCCCACCCCTTCACCCCCTCCTGCTGCTTTCCCGGGCACAGTCCACCCTACGCTCTGTTCCCCGACCCCCACCCCTGCCATGGTCCCTGCCCACTCTCCTCCCCCCTCCCATCCACCACCCCCAGCTGGTGCTCTTGGGCACCACCCAGTGCTAGCCCAGTCGAAGCTAACCCGCTGGCTGCACAGCAATGCGGACCTGAGACAGGGAGGCCCTGTTCTGGCTGCGGTAGACGGGGTGAGAGGGGAGCTGCCGGCGGCTCCCCCCCCCCCCCCCCAGCTGCAGCCTCGGCCCCCCTCCCTGACGAGGCTTTGTGTAGGCACCATGGCTTCCGCAGCGATGGCCAGGCTCCTGGAGCGCGTCCTGCTGCCGGCTGCTGCCCAGCCCGCTGCCGGCTGCTGCCCAGCCCGCTGCCCTCAGCACCTCGCTGACCCCTTCTCAGGAACGTGCTGTTTAAACTACACCGGGGAAACAGACTCCGCTCCGGCTCGGGGGCTGCGCAGCCTCTGACGGAGCTCTGTGGTCTGTACGTGCCGTGCGTACCACCCGTGCACGCAGGCTCTCGGGCTTCTGCCGGCCTGCACACAGCTGGCTCTGGCCTTCCGGGCCGAGTGGCTGTCGTGGTGCTGCTCACCAGCATCCCCAGAGGGGACAGCACAGAGCTGGGAGAAGTGTGGGGCCCGGCGAGAAACACGGTGTCAGGCCACACTCAGACCTGCCCAGCGAGGTGCAGGGGGTGCTCATCCTGTCAGCGCGGGAGGACCCTGGGGGCCTGGGGTCACACAGCCCACGGCGGGGCCCAGCAATGCTGCTCTCTCCTGGCCTCCATCCTCCAGGCAGGTGGCTGGGTCGGGCCTGGCCTGCCTGGTCCCCAACGTGCTCCCAAGGTTACCAGGCAGCTGGGAGAGGGGCCTGGTTTCCTCTGCTGAGTCAGAGGGGAGCCTCCTGCCCCCCGGGGCGCTCTCCTCTGCTGTGGGCAGGGCTGTGCCCCATGCTGCCCGCTGCTCCGTGTGTGCCGGGGACGGGCGCTCCCTTCCGGGGCTGAGGGAGCTGTTTGCCTCACCAGCCCTGTCTGTTTTGCCAATGCCTGCACTCTCTCCTCTGCTCTCACCCCCCACCCAGCTCCAACATGGCCACCACCTGCTCTGTGCCCGGCCCGACCCGGCAGCACCTCTCAGAGCCAGGAGGTGGGGTCTTAGAGGAAAGAGCCATGCAGGAACGAAGAGCGTGGGCTCTGAACTCCCTTTTCAGTGCTTCCTTAGTGTTTCCATCTGTAAAATGGGCACAATGATTCCAACTGTGTTTGCCCCGTTACCTGGAATACATCAAAGGCAAAAGGGCTGTGGTAAAACTGCAAACCCTGGCCGGTGCCATGGCTCAATAGGCTAATCCTCCACCTGCGGCGCTAGCACCCCAGGTTCTAGTCCCAGTCAGGGCACCAGATTCTGTCCTGGTTGCTCCTCTTCCAGGCCAGCTCTCTGCTGTGGCCCGGGAGTGCAGTGGAGGATGGCCCAAGTCCTTGGCCCTGTGCCCGCATGGGAGACCAGGAGAAGCACCTGGCTCCTGGCTTCAGATCAGTGCGGTGTGCTGGCCGCAGCGGCCATTTGGGGGTGAACCAATGGAAAATGGAAGACCTTTCTTTGTCTTTCTCTCTCTGTGTCCACTCTGCCTATCAAAAAAAAAAAAAAAAAAAAAAAAAAAAACCAACCCCCTGCTGAGATGTGAGGAATACAAGCGGTAGCTTCTGCAGGCGTGTTCGAAGCCCAGATGAGGTCACCACTGCCGTGGGGAAGCTTCTCTCAGGTTGTTGAGGGCTGGGGTGCAGACAGGATGGAATCTGACTGCCTAGAACTGGTTTTGCTTTAGCCATTTGGTCCAGGTGGCTTGCTTTTTTTTTTTTATTTTATTTTTTTGTCGTCTACCTATTACTGTTTTGCTGTGTATAAGGTTACCTTCCCCTCCACTTGTCCAGTTAGATGTGACTGACCCAAGTTCACTTTCAGTGCCCTCAAGCAGGCTGTGTCTTATTCAAGTGCAGTTAGAACAGACCTTGGTTCTCTGGTGAATGGAACACTGGGTTCTCAGCGTCGGGGTTCACCGAGACCCCTTGTGCCGGGCACGTGGCTCCTCCTTGCAGTGAGCGTCAATCCAAAGTGTGCATTGGAGGGACGGTGTCACCCAAGGTCCAAGTGCAGGCGCTGGCAGCACAGCCCCACCCGAACTCAAAGTGGCCTTGGCAGCGTCGGTGGCCTCAGGCCAGGTCGTGTCTTACTAAGCTGCGTAGGAAAAGCAGCCAGTCATCCTCCCTGAGGACCCCAACCCAGCAGATGGCGTGCCCCCCCAGCCACTCCTAGGTACCTAATGGTGGCGTGTGGGGCGGAGGACAGTGGACAGTCGAGTCACTCTCTTCCCCCTGAGCCGCTCGCCTGGAGTCGGGCAGCCCGAGCAAACCTTGTGCAATCACAGGGTGTTCCAAGGCAGGACAAGCTGTTTACAGTCTGTACACGGGTCAGGCCTGAAGCAACAAATCAGGTTTGTTTTTTTTTTTTCCTGAATAAATTGCTCTGGCATTCTAATTAGGGCCAAGGGCCAATCCACATGTTAGCCAGGTACCCAGGGTGCAATGGCCTGTGTAGTTAGCATTAATTGGAAGGATACACTTGAGGGGACATATAATCCAAGTCCCAAGCGCAGGCACTGGCAGCACAACCCCAGCCCAACCCAAGAGCCCTGGCAGAGGCTCAAGGATGCTGCCCCCCTGCAGGCAGAGGGGAGGGCCCTCCTCTGTCATTGCAAGCCTGGGGAGGTGCGGTGACTATTCCACGCCACCGCTGGAGAATTAGGCAGGCTGCCCGCAGCTTGCCTTGACTGAGGAGGGGAAGTGCGCCACCCACCACTACCCACCACTCAGCCTTCCCCAAACCCGGGGGGACAATCAGGCGCGGCGTGGAGCCCAGTCGAAGCAGGGTCTGACTTTACTGTAAAAGGGAGGTGTATATATAGCTGAGGTACAGAGCAGATGAGCGGATGCGGGCAAGGGGTGGGGTGTTGTGATGCAAAAGGGTCCTAGCCACTCCTATTGTACCACCTTAAGGATCCTTAGGCAGAAGCACCCTGGGGCTGGGGTGTTTGCTACCAGGGATTTGAAACTTAAAAGACAGGTTTTCAAATTCGAGGCAGGCTCAGGAAGTTCCTCTAGGCCTCTCCGGATTCAGCCTCCCCCACAGGGAGGGGGCAGGGGGGCATGGGAAGTGAGGGGAAGTGCTCCTGACACCCAGTTTAGGTGGACGTGGGTGAGTGTAATGAGAGAGGGCCAGGCATTGGAGATACAGTGTGGGCTGCAGTGAGACCCAGGGGTACCGTCTTCACTCGTCATCTTGTCTTTGCGCCAGGCCTCCCCCAGCCTCTGGGCTCCTGTCCCCATGGTTGCCCTAGGCCTGGCTCGCGAGTTTCCCAGCATGCTCTGGAAGTGAAAGCAGTGTGACAGCTTCTCCCTGGCCCTCCCGAGGCTTTAGCAGAGAGGGGACAGGGGACCGAGCTTGTGTGTGCGGGTCTTGCCAGAGCAGCCCTGGCCCAGGAGTAGGGGCGTGGGCTGCAGGGGACAGCAGCTGGGGGAGGGCGGGGGTGGCTGTGACCTGCTCCACCCGTCTGCCTGGGAGGATTCAGGGCCAGCGTCACCAGGTAATCTGTCCCTAAAGTGACAGCCAAAGGTGGCCCCAGCCTTCCCTGTGCATGGCCGACTGGCTTTCTCTTTGGGAACACAGGATTTGCCCAGTTCTCCTGGGGCCAGCCCCTACATTCTGCTGCAGGGAGCGGTGGTCCCCAGGAGTCGAGGGTTCTCGCCAAGTTGGGGAGCCCTGTCCTGTCTGCAGCCTGCCTCTGGCCTCCTGGGGGCTAGGGCCCCTGTGTCTGCGCGTAGCTCTGGGCTCTTCCTTCACAGTAAGAAGGAGGCGTCGGGGCCTGTTTCAGTGGTGCAGGGCGAGCCCTGAGCCACGTGGTTTCATCTTGGTTTTCTGCTGCAGCGTCCGAAAGCGCTGGCCGTTGGGGCCGGAGGGCGTTTGTGTAGCTGGCGGCTTCTCCCCAGCTTCCCTCCCAACCCTCTTGTTCCTAGACGAGCTGCCAGGAGTAGTTCTGGGAGGAGGGCTCCGAGCCCCGGGTGTCGCCCCCTCCCCTGTCTAACCCTGGCCGTTTGCTGCTGTCCTTGCTGGCAGACCTGAAGCCACAGACACTGCTGGGCACCGTGCCCTGCCTCCCCGCCTACATCCTCTACATGTGCATCCGGCACGCGGACTACACCAACGACGACCTCAAGGTGCACTCCCTGCTGACCTCCACCATCAACGGCATCAAGAAAGTCCTCAAGGTCAGTGCCCCTGCAGAAAGCTGGGCTCAGCGCGGCCATCCCCCCACTGCTGCTTCTCTGTGTCTGGGTTTCGGGGTGGCGAGTGAGGCACCTGGGAAGCCAGGAGGCTCGGACTCAATGAGGCAGGAAGCCAGAAATCCGGAGCAGCCCTCCAGGGCTGCCCAGTGCCTGCCATGCTTGGGCCTGCCCGCTGCTGCACAAGCTGGGGAGACGTCCTGCTACAGCCAAGGGCTGGGGGGGCCTGGTCCTGGTGAAGCCCCAGCTGGAGCCCAGCCCCCTTCACCTGTCCCCTGGGCAGTGCTGCTGGCGTTCCTCAGGGGCCGCAGTGAGGCAGCTGGGCCAGGACGGGGCTGCCCACAGGCTGTCGAGGCAGCTCGGAAACGCACGAGGCTCTTCACGGCCGGAGTGGCGGCCCCGGTGGGAGCAGAGTAGCTTGCAGGGAGGTGAGTCCTGTCCGCAAGGGGCCAGGGCCAAGTAGGGGAGAGGGAGAGGATGTTGTGTCTCCTAGCAGCCCAGGGCTCCACTGTCACTGCTGTTTTCTCTGTTTCTTTTAAAAAAAATATTTGAAAGGCAGTGTTAGAGATTTTCCATCCACTGGTTCACTCCCCCAAATGGCCTCAATGGCCAGGCCGAAGCCAGGAGCTTCACCCAGGTCTGCTTTCCCACAGACATCAGCAGGGAGCTGGGTTCCGCAGGCAGTTGTATCCGCTCGTGGCTCCACATTCTGGAGACTCTCAGACCTGTGTCTCGGCCTTGACCTCTTTCAGGAACAGCAGGCGGGGTCTCGGTCAGTCTGGGCCTGGCTTGGACTGACTGCTGATGTCACCTCCCCAGGGCGGCCTTCCCTGATCCTGAGCCCAGTTAGCAGGCCCCAGCCCCACTGGGCCCTTTGTACTCAACTCCTGTCGCATCATCACAGCTCATCCGTGCTCTGCCCTTGAATCGGTGCCAATGCGTCTCTGCCCGACCAAGCACCCTGAAGTCGGGGGTTTCAGTCAAGAAACCGCTCTCGGGGTTGTTGATGGCTCCCCCCACCTTAGTTATGGTTTGTAGCCATTTTCTAGAGTGGAAGCCACTGGACAGCTGGCCTCTGGGTAAATGGGACCCCAAATTATTTCACTGGCACATGCCCTCCCGTCCCCTGAGTTGGAAAACAGGCAGTTCTGACCAGGGCAGGGAGCCCCAGTGGTTAGAGCAGGGTCCAGTCTCATCGCCGTCACTTCACTCTGCATGCTTCAGCCATGGGAAGCGGTCGGTCTGTTGCATGTGTGTTCCTGTGTGTGCACCCCCGGCTGGCGACCAGGAAAGGGGTTCCGGGTGCCACCCCTGCAATCTCTTGGCAGTGGGTCTCCTCTTGGGGACCAGCAGGGGCCCTGCCTGCATCAGGGCTTCCGTGGAGTGCTGGATGGGGTGCAGGATGTGGGAAGAGGCCCGAGTAGGCATTTCAGCAGACAGGACCACTCAGAGCTGGGGGTGTCCTCTTCTTCCCCCAGAAGCACAATGACGACTTTGAGATGACGACCTTCTGGTTATCCAACACCTGCCGCCTGCTCCACTGTTTGAAGCAGTACAGCGGGGACGAGGTGAGTGAGCGGCTGAGTTCCTGGGATGTGGGGAGCAACTCGGACTATACTGTTACTGGAATTAAGACTTATTCTGAGCCGGCGCCGCGGCTCACTAGGCTAATCCTCCGCCTAGCGGCGCCGGCACACCGGGTTCTAGTCCCGGTCAGGGCGCCGGATTCTGTCCCGGTTGCCCCTCTTCCAGGCCAGCTCTCTGCTGTGGCCAGGGAGTGCAGTGGAGGATGGCCCAGGTGCTTGGGCCCTGCACCCCATGGGAGACCAGGAAAAGCACCTGGCTCCTGGCTCCTGCCATCGGATCAGCGTGGTGCGCCGGCCGCAGCGGCCATTGGAGGGTGAACCAACGGCAAAAAAAAAGGAAGACCTTTCTCTCTGTCTCTCTCTCTCTCACTGTCCACTCTGCCTGTCAAAAATAAAAAAAAAAGACTTATTCTATGCATCTGCTCTCCCACAATATGGCGCTGGGAGAGGAGAAAACAGCTTCTACACAGCTGCCTCCAGTTCAGCCAATAAACTGTAGGACTTGCTCCTGATTGGAGAGCAGCGTGCTCGGCGTGTGGGCAGCCGAGTTAGGATTGGTGGAGGAGGACTATAAAGGAGGAGAGAGACGGCATGCACCAGGAACATCTAAGAGGAACATCTAAGGGGAACACCTGTGCAGCCCCCGAGAGAGCCGGCCGGCGGTGTGCCGCTCCCCTGCGGAAGTGGGGAAAGTGGCCAGGGGGAACCGCCCTTCCACGGAGGTGGAAGGGACAGTAGCCAACCCGGGAAGAACCAGCAGCAAACCCAGGGAGGGCCGAGCAGACAAAAGAACAGCGCAGGGTCCTGTGTCGTTCCTCCACGAAGAGGGGGAGCGACATAATGGTGCTGTGACTCGGATATGAAGCCTAGGCAGGGCTTAGTGTCGTTCCTCCATGAAGAGGGGGAGCGACACTGGGAGGCATCCTGGCTCCGTCCCGATGAGTTCCAAGGCACTGTGCGTCCTCAGGAAGGGGCACCTGCTGGGGCCTCAGGCGGTGGGCAGCACTAACCATGCCTGGAGACTGGAAGAGGGAATGAGGCAGGACGTAGGAGACCTGCTCGAGGGCCCCTGCTGAGGACGCCTGAACCAAGTCAGTGGTAAGAGAGGGGAGTGAGCTTGCTGAGCCCGTCCATCCTCAGAGGGCCCGGGTGACCTTGTCCTGCTGAAGCCACCTTAGGACAGCCGTTTCCGTAAATGCCTATTTCAAGATGGACAAAGATGGCCACAGGGGAAGAGCACCCAGTGGCCAGGACAGTTGTACAGACTGACCCAGAAGTCCGGCTTTATGCTCCCAACCACACCTGATGGCTGGGCCTGCGCGCCTCTTTTCACGCTCCATGCCATTTGACCTCCAGGCCCCAGGAGAGCTCCTCCGTGCTGTGTTCAGCCCGTGACCTGGTTACCCGTGCCACACTTTGAAGCGTCCCAGCTGCCTCCACACCGGCCCACTCCCACATCCCTGGGCGTCCCTCGGCCTTTCCGTTCTTCCCTTCCTTGCCCAAACCTTGCCGCCCACCCTTCGCAAGGCAGCGTCAGCCAAAGTCGTGCAATGGTTTTGAAAGCTTTTTTCCACCTCTTGTGCCAGGACAGATTCTGACAGGTTCTCCGCCCTGGGATGACACAGGGCTGTGCCACCCCGGCCGGTCCTACCTCTGGGACATGGCCGCGCTCCGTCTCTGCCGGGAGGTGGAAATTCTGTGGGCTCACTTGCTTTTACAATGGAAGGGGGGGGTGGGCTGCAGGGCACAGAACTGTCCTTGGTTTCAAACCAGAGGCCTCTGTGACGTCACATCGTACACAAGCTTTGCAAGTTCAGAACTGCACGTGCCACGTGGCACTGAGGCTCACCGCTCCACCTGCTGAGAGAGGTTCTGAATGGGGCGGAGGGGAAATACGTTAAGGCCAGAGCAGGACCAAGAGCTCCTTCTCTTAGGCTGTCCTCACGTGAGCTCGGGTTCTCAGGGACGAGACTTGAACCCACAGCGTGACTGGCTCAACGTAGTCTGCCGACGAGGAACGAAGGAACCAGTCTGAGCACTCACACTTCTGCCCTCTTCCATCCGTGTGTGTTTTCAGGAAGACTTTCGGGATGTGACACAGGACAAGAGCTTTGCTAGGGCCACCCTTTTGAGAGCATGGGTCGTACGTGACCCGTGGCTCCCCTTAGCCTGAATACAAAGGACATTGGTCATATGAATCCTTTCGGGACCAGCCATTCTTTTAGCTTACATGTTACCTTGTGAATGTAGACGGCCAAGAGGACAGAGCACTGTGGCTATGGAATCATTTCAATCCATCTGTTAGTTCCAATATTTAATAATGGGATCCATCCAAAATTTCTCAGTACACAGACATAACCTGGTCCCTGGTAACACTCCTTCAGGCACTGTGTCTCATCTAACCTTTTAGGGTAACCTGGTACATTGGGGAGAGCACTTCGGTGAGCAGTTTAAAAACATGGGCCCCTCTTTCTCTGGGCCTGGTGTCGGTCTGTTTTACTACCTTAGGGAAATCAATTCAGGGATCTGCGCTCCGTAATGCAGACCTTTTCCATTACACACTTCCGACTTCTCGGCCGTGGTATATTTTTACACTGCCTTCAAGTTCAGGGCCATCAGTGAGGTCTCAGAGAACTCTCAGGGCTTTCTAGAACATCATACAGGTAGTTCCACGTAGAGAGGGCTGGGTGGGGCCCCATAAGGAGCACTGAGCCCACGGATCTCGGCAGCGCCCGCCTCTTCCTCTGCAGGGCTTCATGACCCAGAATACGGCCAAGCAAAACGAGCATTGTCTTAAGAACTTCGACCTCACCGAATACCGCCAGGTGCTGAGCGACCTTTCCATCCAGATCTACCAGCAGCTCATCAAGATCGCCGAGGGCTTGCTGCAGCCCATGATAGGTGAGCTGGTGGCAGCACGGGGTCTGGAACGAGGGGAAGCTGGGCTGAGCTCGCCCTGTCTTCAGGGAACCGGACACACATGTGCCCTTGACGAAGAGTGTGTGGGAAAATGGACTTACTGACCTGCATTTACTAACGTGCGTTTTCCCTGAACACTGTGGAGACCCCTTGTTTTAGCCACATCCCCCAGAAAGCCAGGACCTTCCCCCATGATGCTGGGGTTCTGAGTGTACAGACGCGTGTCACTGCCTCTTCCTTTACCTCTTTTACTGTGAGATGCTCTATTCCCCCCACCCCAAACAAGCTAATTTTAATAGGTAATTGATGTAAACTCACAGGGTATAAATACATACACGGTGGGGGAAAAAGACTCCTCTGGCCGGGTGCGGACTCTGTTCGTGCAGAAAGCAGTAAGTGCGCTCCTGTGCGCGCGCTCGCCGAGCGCCCACTGCCCCTCGCCTGGAACGCAGCAGTGCGCTCGTGCACTGAGCACGCAGGCCCCCGAGCCGGGCACTGGGTGCAGCTGTGTTAGGTGATGCAAGGCGATGGCTCCAGCTGTGTTAGGTGACGCAAGGCGACCGCTCCGGGAAGGCTGAGGGGGGAACTTGAGCCTGAGCCTGTGTGTGATGCCTCCCGCCTGGGTTCTCACAACACACGTAGCTTCCGGGTGAATGCCGAATGGGACCAATCCAGGCATACGTCTCCAGGACAAGGTCCGTTCCAAATGCTCCTTCCTGTCTGGCCATCTGGGCACGGGAATCTGGAAAAACTTCGGATCTCAGAACAATGTGGTGGTCAGGAGCGCAAGTGCTGGAGCCACACCTGGGCTGGGATCCTGGCCCTGCCACTTCTAGTAGCATGACTTTGAGGCAGGTTATTCAGCCTCCTTATGCCTCAGTTTCCACACTGGTAAAATGGGGCAGCATCCTCTATAGATGCAAAGAGGTATTGCAAGTAAAGCACTGGGGCCTAGCTCAGTGCTGCTCCGTGAGGGTGACAGCTGGCCATGCAGCCAGTGGCTGGGCCGGAGCTATACCCAAGAGGCTCCGTTCAGGAACTCTGAGCCCTGGGCACACAGTACAGAGCCAGCCTGATGCCCGCCCGTTAACCTTGACCCATCGCCAGTCAGTCTTAGGGACAATCTGGTCCAGAGCTGTCGCATTCCATCTAGAGGCTGATGCGTTAGAAAATTCTTTGCCAAATGTCCTAAGTTCCCGAGCATGTCAACACCGTACACCTTTGTACACCTCCGGACAGTGTCCCTGCCCAGCCGCGGGTACTGCGGGATCTCAGCAGGCCAAAGCCAGGTCTGCGCTGAGCGCCCAAGTTTCCCTAACCGTGCTCCTCTCGCAGTTTCTGCCATGCTGGAAAACGAGAGCATCCAGGGGCTGTCTGGGGTGAAGCCCACCGGCTACCGGAAGCGCTCCTCCAGCATGGCGGACGGGGACAACGCCTACTGCCTGGAGGCCGTCATCCGCCAGATGAATTCCTTCCACACGGTCATGTGCGACCAGGGCCTGGACCCCGAGATCATCCAGCAGGTGTTCAAGCAGCTCTTCTACATGATCAGCGCGGTGACCCTCAACAACCTGCTCCTGCGCAAGGACGCCTGCTCCTGGAGCACCGGCATGCAGCTCAGGTGAGGGCCGGACCACCCGCGCCAACGCTGGCCGGCCCGCACTCCCGCCGCGCCGCTCGTCATCACACGCTGGGGCAGGGGCTCGGTAAACACGTTCCTAGCTCAGACGTTTCCACATCCAATCTGAAGGCTGAACACCACAGAGAGGTCAGAGAGAGATCAGTGATTATGGCAGGCTCACGGGGAGGCCGAAATTTGTGAATGTTTCCTAGGAATTGTTTTAATTTGATACATTGAGTGCATTTTTCCCCATTCACTGATAGATTTTGGGTATTTCACTTGATTTTTAAGCACCCATTGATTCATATTTTTATTCTAAACTCAACAAATAGCTCCTGCGCATGGGGCAAGCTTCTAACCATGTGAGATAATTAGCGAAGGTGACGAGAATGGTGACATAAGTGCAGGCAGCCTGCGAAGCCAGCTCGTGTCCTCGTCCCTGAATTAGGACCAGCTTAACCCTGCTCGCTTTTTACCCGTGGCTAAGGTACAACATAAGTCAGCTTGAAGAGTGGCTACGGGGAAGAAACCTGCACCAGAGCGGAGCAGTCCAGACCATGGAGCCCCTCATCCAAGCAGCTCAGCTCCTGCAGTTGAAGAAGAAAACCCAAGAGGATGCGGAGGCCATCTGCTCCTTGTGCACCGCCCTCAGCACCCAGCAGGTGGGCCAGCCCCGGGCAGTCAGGGGCGCCTGGCGCGCACTCGGCTTCCCCTCCACAGCTGTCCTGCTCGGGTTCTTTCTCTGCTGTTGCTCTCCCAGCCTCTATCACCCCTCGTGATACCATTCCCAGGGTGTCCTGGGCGAACCGGAGGCCACTCTGGTCTGTTCCGTGGGATGCCTCTGACCTCCCCTGCTCACTTAGGATAAGGCAGTAAGCCCACAAAATGTCAAGCTGTGGTAAACGCTTATTGTAAGCAATGCATTCTGCATTGTTTATTACCTGGAAATTTAATTTTTTCCATTATTGGCAGCATCAAGCATCTGCTTTCTTTACAACTATGATTATGAACAAAAGCTTTTTTATAATTAGGCTTTTTTTTAAAGATTTATTTATTTGAAAGGCAGAGTTACAGAGAGGCAGAGGCAGTAAGAGGTCTTCCACTGCTGGTTCACTCTTCAAATGGCTGCAATGGCTGGAGCTGCGCTAATCTAAAGCCAGGAGCCAGGAGCTTCTTCTGGGTCTCCCACATGGATGCAGGGGCCCAAGCACTTGGGCCATCTTCCACTGCTTTCCCAGGCCATAGCAGAGAGCTGGATTGGAAGTGGAGCAGCTGGGACTCGAACTGGCGCCCATATGGGATGCCAGCACTGCAGGCAGCAGCTTTACCCGCTATGCCACAGCTACAGCCCCATAACTATGCTTTCAGTATGGTCATATTTTTACCTAAGACTCCATTTACATTATTTTAAATGAAACCAGTAAAAACCTAGAGGCATCTAACTCTTACTGTCCTTTTCCCCCTAAAATTGCATTTACACTGTGACGCAGCTGCAGTCTATAAAAATATAAATGCTGCCCACACACAGGCAGACCTTGCCTCCATCATAAGTGTGTGTGTTTGGAAATGGATCTGAGACCAGCATAAGGAAACCAGACTCTGCAAATCAAGTGGTGCATCTTCCTCCCGATCAGCACCTACACAACGACAAAATCCAAACTCAATATAGCAAAGTAGACATCCTTCTCTTACCTCCTCCACCAGCTACTAAAAATGAAATAGCAACCTTTTAAGGAAAAAAAAAAACTTCCTTCAGTAAATGTACTGAAAGCCTTCCTCCTTTATAATATACACATATATAAATATCTATTTTACTTTCATAAGTTGACTTCTAGGCAGGCTACTTCCAGACAACTGGCAGGCAGACAAAAGATGGTCTTCCATTCAAGGAGGGAGGGAGTATCACTGGGAGGGGTGAGGCAGGGGGCGGAAGAGTAGTTGGGCGTTGTCAGACAACACCTCTCTCACTGAAGGCAGGAGCCCCACCAGTCTTTTGGGGGAAACCTAGTAGGTAAGAGGCAGAGGGTCCCAGGCCACAGTTCTCTAAACTCCTCATTGTCTATGAACCACCAAACGTGGGGTGTGAGGTATGCAGGGGACAGGGATGCCGTAGGAGGACGCGGGCCCACTGGGCAAAGGCGTGGACTCCTTCCTCGCGTTAAGGATCAGTCCAGGCCGGTGCCGCGGCTCACTAGGCTAATCCTCCACCTAGCGGCGCCGGCACACCAGGTTCTAGTCCCGGTCAGGGCGCCGGATTCTGTCCCGGTTGCCCCTCTTCCAGGCCAGCTCTCTGCTGTGGCCCGGGAGTGCAGTGGAGGATGGCCCAAGTGCTTGGGCCCTGCACCCCATGGGACACCAGGAGAAGCACCTGGCTCCTGGCTTCGGATCAGCGCGGTGTGCCGGCCGCAGCGCGTCAGCCGTGGTGGCCATTGGAGGGTGAACCAACGGCAAAAGGAAGACCTTTCTCTCTGTCTCTCTCTCTCACTATCCACTCTGCCTGTCAAAAAAAAAAAAAAAAATCCAGCTCCACCTGTGGGCAGTGTGGGTCCTGTCTGAAGAGGACAATGCTCTTGTCCGGACGTCATGTGTCCTGGATGGCCCGTTAAGTTCCAACGTTGTGTTGTGTTCATTTAGCACTGTGCTAAACTTTATTTTTATTCCAACAGATTGTCAAAATTTTAAACCTTTATACTCCCCTGAATGAATTTGAAGAACGGGTAACAGTGGCCTTTATACGAACAATCCAGGTGAGTTTAAAAATATTAATCAATGTTATAAAGTCTTAGTCTAAAACTATAAAGCAAGTTGAAGATTCTAATCCTTTTAATACTGGTCTCATGGGATGCTAGAGGGCCCCAGTGTTCCTAGGCATTCCACTTGGGTAAACCTGTCACGACACACACAGCACTGAGCCTGCAAACGCTCTGGCCCCCGCATTTTATACAGTCTTAGTTAAATATTTCACAAAGTAAGCATATCATGAGCTCATACAGATGGAACTAAGGAATGTTCTTTTAAGAAAACAGTTTGCGCTCTTAAATCTTATCTCTTAAGACTTGGAATATATGCCCTAAGAAACAAGCTTAAAAGAAAATATATTGGGCTAATGATTAAGTCTGTAGGAGTTTCTTAACTTAAAAAATAGCGCTCTCAAGCTGAGCCCAGGGTGATTCTGGCAGAGCGCCTGGTCTGTGTGTGTGGTGGGAATGCTGGCCATTGACCACTACACCGAAAAGCCAGCGCATGCGCGTGGGAACTCCCTGGGGAGGGGTAGCCCTTCCTGAAACTTCTTAGCAACCTCTGTAGCCAGGGACGTAATGCCAGCATGGAACAGGGATTACCAATGTGTGCTGAGAAAAATGAGCCAAGAAGGAAGAGCGAGCACTAAGGGAATCAACGTAAGGAAGGTTTGGCAAAGATCCTCAGAGCCCAGAGAAACCCCGGGGCCTCAGTGGAGAAGCCGCGCCCTTCCAGGCGCTGGGCTTTGATTCGGAGCTCCTTCCAAGTGTTCCAGGGCAGAGTCTGCAGTCTGAAATGAGCTGTGGCAAAGAAGAAATGAACTTCTGCCTTGTGTCTAAGCAGGGCATAGAGGCAAGGGTCAAGGAGGGCTGGCTGCCAAGTCAGGCTGAAGGTGGTTTCCTTAAGGGCGCCAAGGGCATGCCAGGGTTCTTAAAGGCACAGACACCAGAGAGAAGAAGGTAGAGACCCACAGGGACAAAGCCAGGGGGTGCAGGTGGCACTGTCTGAAAGGATCCAGCTGGGAGAGAGAGATATATAGACAGGTAGGTAGGTAGGTAGGTAGTCAGCTTCGAGGTGGGGGGAGTGGAGCAAGTTGGATGACGGACAAGAAGCCAGCAGGGCATCTGACCCTGGACCCGCTACTGACTTTTACAGAGAGTTAGTAATTTATACAAACTCAAGTCCATATGTAGAGAGTCTTGCTTGGTTTTGATTTTCTGAGATGCACCCTAGAGGGAGAACTCCAACTGCTTCCATGTGGGCTGCAGCATTGTCTCCAAGGAGAGACGTCAGGCCAAAGGTAAGGAATGCCTGCCAAGTGGCGCTGCAGGTTTCATGAGCCCAGGACACGGATAAAGGTAATGCAGGCTGAGTGTCGGGTGTTCTCAGGACACGTGTACCGGGGCACTCAGAAGCTAGCAGTCAGAGGAATTCAAAGATAAGTTTGTTTCGATTCAAAAAGGTCACAGACAAAACATATTTATGTAGACTATGGACTGCAAAATACATTTACCTCAAAGTAAACTTTTAATTCCATTTTCCATGAACTTTTTGAAGTTCCTGGGTACGATCAGATTCTTGGTCTGTTGCTGTGGATTCGTTCTGAGAGGAGGAGCGTGGTGGGGGCAAGAGGTGTGGAGTCACCACACAGACCCCGGGAGCCCGGTGAAAGCGGGCCAGAGGCGAGCAGCCCGCAGACTCGTTTATTTCAGTTGGTACAGCAGCTTAAATAGCCAAAGCAGCCAATCCGGTCAAGGGGAGGTCTATGCCCTAACCAATCACAGCCTGTTGCCAGGCAGTTTCCGAAGCCATCCAATCACAGCCTGTTGCCAGGCAGTTTCCATTGCCAGCGACCATCTTGGCATGGCCTTCTCATTCCACCTTGGTCTTCCTCAGTAGTTGATATCAGTATCTGACAGTTCTTTCCCAGAAAACGACTGTTGTGATTACCTTTTGGCCAGCGACGGCTGTATGTTCTGCTTCTCCCTGTGCAGTGCTCAGAAAGTCTGAGCAACCCACTCTCCTACACCTGAACTCAAATAAGCGCAAGCAGCTTGTGAAACAAAGTCCCTGCATGGGCGCTATGGGCAGTATGGACTGACCTTTAAAAATGGAAATCTGAGTGTATCAAAACATATGGTACAATTTCTATTGCCAATTTAAAAAATAAAAATTTAAAAGTGCAAATTTTAGTTGTTAAAGTCCCCAAACAAGGTAGCTATTTCACAAAAATCCTCTCTGAATTTTACTGAATTAAACGTAGACCACCTTTTGCTGCTGAATTATAATAGTATGGGTAAATCTTTAACTTTCCCATTTTTATACCCTTCCCTAAATCCTTCAGTTTCCTCAGATCCTTCCTAAATCCTCAAGGAAGTCAGACCATAGCAAAATGTTGCCATTATGTGATGCAAATAAGGGTGCCTTGCCCCAGTGAGAGAAAAGCCAGTTTTCATACCCCAGACTAGTATGGGATAGCCTGTGTTTGCACAAACTTGGGAGAGTCTGATCTTCCTCTTGGCACGATTTCCCCGGTTCAGTGGCCTTTGTAACAGTGCAGCTCCAGCCAGGAATTCCTGGTGCACGGGGTAATGGCTAATTGTGGGCAGGCTGCACGAGGGAGCTCAACGTCAAGTGAATGATGCAAACACAGCCCCTGCCACGTCCCGGTGACCGAAGCCAGTGCCTTACACATAGGAGCCTGACAACCTTTCGAGCAGCCCATTTTTGGGGGGAAGGTATTTTGCTATTTTAATCATGTTTAAGTGTACACAGTGACATTAAGTCCACTCACATTGTTATGTAACCATCACCACTATTTCCAGAAATTTTTTCATCATCCTAAACAGAAACTGTACCCAGTTAGCAGTGACTTCCTATTTACCCTCTCCCATCCCCTTCTTCTCTTCTCTGTCTCTGGGAATTTATCCAATCTATATATTTCATGTAAGTGGAATCATGCAATATTTGTCCTCCTGGGTCTGGTTTATGTCACTTGGAATGGTCTCCTATAACATAACATGTATCAGAACTTCATCTCTTTTTACTACTGAACAATAGTTCCTTTTACACGTATAAAACACTGTTTATCCATTCATCTGTCCATGGACACTGCACTGTCCCCATCTTTTGGCTACTGGAATAATGCTGCCGTTAACATTGGTGAATATTTTGAATAGAAGTGGTAGGAACAGGCATCCTTATCTTGTTCCTGATCTCAAGGGAAAAGCGTTCACTCTTTCACATTGAGTATGATGTGAGATGTAGGTTTCTCCTATTTCAGCAGGAAAATATGTTGGATTTTGTCAAATGCTTTTTCTGCACCAATTGAGACACCATGTGGTGTTTATCTTCATTCTATTAATGTAGTATGTTACGCTGATTTTTGTATGCTGAACCACCCTTGTATTCTAGGGATAAATCTCACTTGGTCTTGGTGTATAACCACTTAAATCTGCTGCTGAATTTAGTTTGCTGGTACTGTGTTACACGTTTTTACTTCTATATCCAGATGCAGTATTAGCCTATAGCTTAGTTTTCTTGTACTGTCTTACCTGCTTTGGTATGAAAGTATTACTGACCTCATATAATGCATTTGAGAAGAATTAATATTAACTCTTTTTTAAATGTTTGGTAGAATTCTCCAGGGAAGCCATGTCCTGGGCTTCTCTTTGCTGGGAGGTTTTGACTACTAATACAATCTCCACAAGTATGTTGGTCTATTCAGATTTTCTGTTTCTTCTTAAATCATTGTTGACAGTTTGTGTCCATTTGAACTATCCCATTTGTAAGTGTAAAAGTATTCATAGTATTATCTTTTGATCCTTTTTATTTTTGTAAATTTTGGTAATATGCTCTTTTCATTTCTGACTCTGGTAATTTCTACATTTCTGAATGTAGACTTCTACTTTTTCTTAGACTAAAGATTTGTCAATTTTGTTTAAGTTCAATTTAATTTTTAATTCTATTCTCTCTCAATTATGCCCACTCTGATTTTACTCCCTCCCTCCCTTTCTAGCTGTGGGTTTAGTTTGCTGTTCTTTTCCACTTGCTCGAGGCAAACAGTTGACTTGATTTCAGACCTTTGTTTCAAAAACGCTGACACAAGTTTATACCTTAGCACTACTTTCACAATATCCCGTAAGTTCTAATATAGTATATTTTCATTTTCACCTAATTTCCCTGGTGATTTCTTTGATTCATTGGCTATTTTAAGACCCTATAAATTTCCATGTCTTTGTGGATTTTCCATGTATTTTTAGTTTCATTGCATTATAATCAGAAAAAAATTTTTTAATTCATTGGGGCTTGCTTTGTGTAACCTATGGTCCGTCCTAGAGAATGTTCCATGCACCTTGAGGAAGTATATTCTGCTGTTCTGTGTATCTGTTCGGTTTGTTAGGTCTAATTGATTTATTGTGCTGATTATGGCCTCCATCTCTTATTGGTCTATCTGATTGTTCTATTGAAGTGTCCAGCTTTAATAAAATATTTCTCCCTCCAGCTTTGTCAATATCTACTTCACATTTGGGGATTCTCTTGCTAGGTGTATTATGACTATTGGAGCTGCTTTTATCAAAATATAGTGTCCTGTTCTGTCTCTAGAAATGACTTAATTTCTCATCTGATTTTGAAGGATTGTTTTGCCAAATATAGAATGCACAGTTGGTGGGGTTTTTCTGTCTACTTTGTCATCCCACTGCATCTAGCATCTATGGTCTCTGAAAGAAAATCAGCTGTTAATTTTATTGAAGGATACTTTGTATGTGGCAAGTCGCTTCTGTCTTGCTGCTTTCAAGATGTCCTATCTTTGGGTTCTGGCAATTTGACTATAATGTGCCTCACCCTGAATATTTGAGTTTATCCTGCTTGAAGTCTGCTGACCTTCTTGAGTGTGTACATACATGTCTCATCAGATTTAGGAAGTTTGGGGGCATTATTTCTTCAAATTCTTTCTGCCCATTTCTCGCTCTCTCTTCCTTCTGGAACTCCAATCATGCGTATACTGATGGTGTCCCATAGGTCCCACAGGCCCTGTTCTTTATTACTCATTCTTTTTTCTTCTCAGACTGGATTGTTTCAGGCTCCTTTCTTCTTCCTGATCAAGCCTGCCGTTGGATTCCGTTAGTGTATTTTTCCAATTGTCCATTTCCTAAAATGTCTGGCTTCAAATGGGGAGAAGATAGACAAGCCCTGTTGCTTTTAACATTCCAAATTAATGCCACCAAGGAAAGCCACTTCATCCCAAGAGATGCTTAAACCAAGGCAAGTACCTGTGTTGGGACCCACCAGACCACCAAAATGTACAATTCCAAATTTTGGAAGACAAGGTCCCATTGCCTGCCCTGGCACCAGCAGTTGTGCAAGCGCTAACCCCATGGCTACCTTTGGGCTGAAGAATGGCAGGTAGGAGCTGATTCAAACACACTGCTCTCCTAGCAGTGCATCCTGGAGCCTCTGCCTTACCAGGTACTCTCCTTGGTGGTTCTATAAATGTCCATTCAGTTCCAGCTGGTAACAATCACCCTTTCCAACTCAATGGTTGCCTTAATGGATGGACCAACCCCTAGAGCCCTGTCCTCTGCTACTTTATGTGATGTTGCTCTTCCCCACTCTGAGATGAGGAAACTGAGGCAGAGAGTGGCCCAGGAATTTGCCCCAAGTGGTGCCAGGATGTCAGGTCAAGCTGTCTGCCTCCAGAGCCCTTGCCATCAACCACTTTGCTTCAGTGCCTCTACCAGGATTAGCACCTGATATGTATTTTTATACTCTCCCTTAGATGGAACTTTGTTTTAAGGAATGCTAGAATTGAGAATGATTAGTCATCTGCCCTCCCAAAAAGCCTAAACCACCCTCACACTAAACACCTCTGGGACAGGGAGACCCCATTCTCCTGAAGTCGTTACGTAATTATCTTGGGACTCTTCCCATGACATAGGCTGAGCCACTTCCATGAACTCACCTAAGCTGGCTGTTCGTAGGTACCGTACTAGGCATTCACGTGGTCTCATTGTTCCCCACAGGCACAACTGCAAGAGCGGAACGACCCTCAGCAACTGCTGTTAGACTTCAAACACATGTTCCCTGTTCTGTTTCCATTTAACCCATCCTCTCTGACCATGGACTCCATTCATATCCCAGCCTGTCTCAACCTGGAGTTCCTCAATGAAGTCTGAAGGCGCAGGCTCCCAACGTTAACTTGAGTCCCAGCAAGAGCCAGCAAGCATACACAGGAAAGTGATTCAGGGATCTGTGTGAGGTGGTGAAAGTGGATTCCATCAGAGCCCGACTACACGTGGACAGTGCCGCACTACACGGAACAAGCCACACTCACGTCATTATTTTTTGTACCTACTGCTCAGAATAAAAACACTTGAAATATGGAAAATTTTTTAAGGTGGATTTCAGTCTAAACACACACACACATAATCTACGGCCACCCAGAAGTCCCCATGGCCATATAAAAGGTGCCAGTTCTGTAAAATGGAAGCTGCCTAGTTTTGCTATTTGCTTATAACTGGAGAATGTCAAAATTAAAAGTATATTAAAGATATAGCAAGTCACATAAATTGCCTTCAAAGGACTTTTAATAAAGTACTATTAACTATGATAGCAACATATCCTGACCTTTACCCAGGCAGACGACCCATAAGTGTGGATGAGTTTGCAGTGAAATACAAAACTGTGGGCCCAGGCTTCCCGATAAGTATTCCCAGAGTACTTTTAATGGCTGAGGATATACAGAATGGTATAATTGACCTCCAGACCAAACATTTGGAGTATTAGTTTCTGAAGCTTAACTAAAAGATCCAGTCAGTCATGTGTTCAAACCCTTTTGTGTAGCCCAGGGTTTAAGAAACAGCTGTGCTAAAAACGCTGCTGTCCTGGGGCTGGCATTGTGTCCTAGTGAGTTATGCCACCACCTGCAACACTAGAATCCTGTATCAGAGTGCTAGTTCAAGTCCCGGCTGCTCTGCTCCTGATCCAACTCCCTGCTGATGTGTCTGGGAGAGCAGTGGAAGCTGGCCCAAGTGCTTTGGGCCCCTTGTCACCCATGTGGGAGACCCGGATGGAGTTCCAGACTCCTGGTGTTGGCCTGGCCCAGCTCTGGCTATTGTAGCCATTTGGAGAGTAAATCAGAGGATGGAGGTCATATTTCTCTGTCACTCTACCTTTAAAATAAATCTTAAAAAATATGCTGTCCCAAAGTTCAAATGTGAGTACGATGGGAAAAGTATGTTTCCAATGCTAGTCCATACATTTACCAACAAAATTCTCACAAAAATTAATATAAACTAAATATTAGGAAACAGTAACAACAATTTTTATTTGCAGATAATAAAAATTAAGTATGAAATCCTTTAATTTCTTAATGCCTTCAAACCTCCAATAAGAACTTCAAATAAGGCACCACTAACTCCACACAACCAAAACAGGGAAAAGCGAACTTCAGTCTGAGAATCAGATTGTTTGGAAAACCATTAAAAAATAATTAGCTCATTGATTATCCAAAGGTTTGTGTTTTGTTTTTTAAAGGGAATTAAATAGTTGAAGCCACCTTTCCCTTTTCAGGTTATTTTCAACATTTTTCATACTTGCCACATAAAAGTTACTGTAACTGTTATAACGATTTAAGAATATTCAGTAATAGTGTAACAGGTTTAGATGTTTCTGCTCTTAGGGTTTTTTAGGGTTTTCTGGACTCTTCAAAAGCAAGCATTCAATTAGAAAATATTGTACATTCTTTCCCCTCATTTCTGACTATCTTGCTAACAGTAGGCTGTTCCATGACTGCTTGCACATCCTACAGGAATGGCCTCCCATCCTATTGAGAAGATTTCTCCATGACCGAATACTTAGTCACCAGATTAAAAGGCTCTTGGAAACAGCACACTGCAGGCCCACACACAGACTGTGCACTCAGAGCTCGGCGTCTTCGTGGGCTACTCTTCTCACCTGCTGGGCCAGCACAGACTCCGCGCTGGGGTTAAGGCTACCGACAGTTATGTCCAAAAACACTGCCGTGGGTGTTACCCCCTCTAGGCCCACAGGAGACACCCTGGCTTCTCTTGGGCGTCTACACAGAGCTGTGCCTGCCCTTGTTGCTCAGTCACACAACCACGAGGTCCATGCCACCTTTCAACCCACATGCTTTGTTGGGAAGGCCAGCCTAATGCAAATAGGCCTGTTGCCGCCTCCTCTTTCTAGCTTATAAAGTTTAATTTGCTTTTTGGTGCACTTTAGTTTGAAACTCAGTGTCTCATGGAATGAAACACTGTCCTTAACCTTCAAGATAACCAAAAATGCCTTGAGGATAAAGGAGTTTAGACCAGCAGTCATTCCACAGATACACTGGCTAACTGTCCTTATGTACTGTCTTAACAGCTTCATTCTTGCCATCTCTTTGGGCAGCTCCTCTCTACTGCCATTGGTGAATCACTAGGTGCCAGAGGCTCACTGAATAAAAGCTTGGTAAATAGAATAAACGGGAAGGTATCCTCATGATTAGTCTTCTACTTAGCCTAAGTAATAGCAGATACCAAAAAGTATTTCACCGGAACTGTGCTTAATTTACAGATGACTGACAAATTCTTGCACAGTACTTTGATACTGAATGTCCAGCTTCATACTTGGAGGCTGGAGAAACATCTATAGGGAAACCATCTAGCATTTCTCTCTGCTTTTTTCAAATCAGTTCAACTCACTCCCCAAGTTCATGGAATCAGTAATAATTTGAAATAACTTAATTCAACATAAACATCTGAACTATCTTTTCAAGATTTAAAATTTAGTTAACACTTTCTCACGAGGTGCCTTTAGCAGTTATTAAAATAACTGACCGTACCAATTGTTTCTCTGAAATAAGTGTTGGTACAGGGAGAATTTTAATATTTGCCATGACAACATGGAGTTTTGATTTGTATTCTGAAACATTAGAAGCATTTTAAAGGTTAAATATTTGCAGAATGATTTGTGTGTTAAGTATTTCTTGGAACCTATTTACCTACGGTAAGATGTGCACATGAAATAGTTGTGGCTGAAGCAGACAACCCTATCACGATACTACATGCATTCTCCTTGTGCCATCATATCTGCAGTTAGAGTGACGGTAACGGTAGGCTCACCTAGCAAGCAGATTGGGCTCAAAGGCACACCATCTCCCCCTTCCCATAGAGCATGTCAATAGGAGTTGCTTCCCTTGGCTTCCTAGCGCTAAATTTTAAGGCTTTTGTAAAAGCTAGGAGCTTCAAAAATTTAGAAAATACAATTAACAGTGCTATCTACCATCAATTCATCAAATATTTACTTAGGGCCTTAATGCATTAGGAGTACAGTAACAAATTAGACTCCATTTCTTTTGCATAGATGAATTGTTTTCATACACTTGACCTGATTCTAAGGCAACCAGGGTATCCTAAATTGCAGTGTTTGTCTAACGTCCATACAACTCGCAGCAGGGGCAGAACCCTGGAGTCTCTCCTCACAGTATCTAGGGTTGGTTTCTCGGTTTGCTGCGTGAGCCAAATACCCATAATTCACTCTTTGTACACACTGGTTCCATAATTAGGGAATTAAAGGATCTAGGAAGTTAGAGGTTAATACCAAATGACAAAACATGACTTGTTAATTACAAAGGTCATTAGATATCGAAAACTGTTCCTAAAATTTTATAATTCTAATAAAGGGGTTCAATCCGATGAAATTCACCTACTTTCTAAAGTGATGCTATGTAAAAACCATCTAGATTTGGATAAAACAGTTTGCCACTAATATTTAGATGAAGGACTGCCTCTCTAAAGATGATGTTGCATTCAGGGGAGTATCTAATATTATAAAACAAATATTGATATTTTTCCATTTTGAGCAAACCTGTAAACTACACTTATAGAAAAATGCTTGTAATAGGCACTGTAATATTTGGCTGTGGATAAAACATGTGAAAATAAATACTTTTGAATAAAGTGGTATGCAAATCGGAAGGAAATTTAAAGCTGCAGCTACACACTGGCTGAAGTTTGATGCTCCTGAGAAACTTCACCCTGGGGCCTACATTCAACCGTGTTTCACGATCGTTTAAACCAGAGGTTGGGGGAAGACTTGCCCTGGAAGACAGTACAGGTTGTTAAACACTTCACAGCTGTAGAATTCAAGACAGTTTGAGCTTAGGAAAAGACTGATGGATTAATGATGAACAGAGGGCCTAGAGGTGGACCCAATCACAAAGCATAGACAAGGCATTAAAAAGTGGGAAATGTTCTGTGGAGGAATTTATGAAATAAGTGAAAAACACCAAGAAATGCAGAAATGTACGTATAGACTCCTCACTACAAAAATGTAAATTATCCCCAAGTTCACTTTTTTTTTTAATACTGACAAATGCACTGCAAAATTGATATGGAAAAGCAACGACTCATGGATAAGAAGACCCTCCTTGAGACAGCAGAAGACTTCCCCTGGCCGGTATCAGGACTTCTAAAACTAGTAAAGTCTGTGGAACTGGCATAGAGACCAATGGAACAGAGTAGGCCAAAAGCTGATTATATGCACACCAGGGTATACTGTTTCTTAGCTAGGAGCACACATCAAAATCACCTGGAAATCTTAAAAATACACATAACCAGCCCCTCTCCCCCCAGTTACGGAACAAGACACCCCTAGGAGTGTACTCATTAGGAACAATTGTTGCAATATGACCCACAGAAACGCTCACATCTATCATGGAGGAACACAGAATCTTGAACCCAACTTCCAACCTAAGGGTAGATTCACCTACCTTTCTGGGTGGCTGACCAAGGAAGCCTCACTTCAGACAGTTCACCCCCTACTCGGGTCTAGGCCTATCTTCAAAACCTCAACAGGAAAACTAGGTCTGAAAAGAGCTGAACTGCATACCAGATACACTCACGCTACAACAGCTGAGAAAGGGAAAAAGCCCAGCCTCAGGAAACTGGTCTGATTTTTAGCTCACAGAATTGGCCTGGTGCTCCTGCTGTTCTCCTCTAGCACATAACCTTACAAAGCACTGGGCATCAGACAGGTCTCTCTGTGATGGAGACTGAGAGGCCCATAATTCTGCCTAGAGACATAAAACAAGGTCACACAATAAGAAACATCCCTTCTCCTACCTGATACTTGTAGAAGGCACTGTGGTTTCTCTCCCAGTTTAGCTTTATCCTCTGATCTGCCCTCTTTCTGGATAGGATTATATGGACAGCCTTGTCCCTGCTTGCTCACTGTACCCAATGCAGAGTGAAGCTCTTCTGCTTTGCGTCGTCTTTAATCACCTAACCAGTGCCCCAATCCTAACATTAAGCCTCCTACCAAGATGTCCCACAGTTCCCCAAGACGCACCCATGGTATACGATTTTCCTTGTTGCATGAGCAGGA